TTGATTTTTCTAACAAACGTTTTCATTTTGTATTGTTATTTACAATTTCTAACAATAGATATTTGAAATGAAGAGAATTCACCATAAAACTGATTTGTAATTAAAAGAAAATAAATTAAAATTTTAAAATGTGGCAACATACAACATTGTTTGATGCAAGACTATAAATAAAATATTTTTTTTGTGATGGCAAAAATCGCTTCAATTCGCAGTTTATTACTTCACTACATAATTGTGTGCCTAATTATTTAATTTCGATATTTGATCTCCAAAAATTCTTAAAGTGAACAATTAATTTATGATATGCTCCTCCTCCTTTATTTCGTCCATCAATTCATGCAGACGATAAATTTGAGAGAAAATATATTTTTGTAGCTTTATTTTTGTTCTTTCATAATTATACCCTACACCACTATTTTGTCAGGGTATTATAGCTTTGTGCAGCCCCTGTTTTTGGTAAAGATCGGTTAATATTAAGGGGATGAAATGGGCCAACTACTTAATTTTTGTCGCTCCAGAGACTGCAATTATGGTCCGAACATTGAAATTTTACATGGAGAAGGGGATCGGGCCAAAAAATAAGCATACCTGTTTTGGTAAAGATCGGTCAATATTTAGCGGGTCAAATGGACCCTGAGTTTTGTGTGAAAAAAATGTGTATTCTAAAGCGTATATATTTACCACTGAAGGACATATACCCGAGAAGTTGATAGTACATCCAAGAGGAGTGGTTGGCATTTAAATTGATACCAATTATATTGTCGTATGTACTCGGATGTGGGAGTTACACTTAAATATATACAGGTGCTTGCGTATACATATAATATTAAGTAACGCATTAACATTAGAGGGCGGAAATACAGCGCTGAGAGCTTTGAAATTTTCCATGAGAATCCAGGAATGGTCAAGGATAACGCCTATAATTATCGTTGATGATCGCCCATGTGCTGCATTTCGAGTTTGCTCGAATGTGAAACATTTTCCCAAATTTGGTGTGCTCCATTCCGAATTCCCAAAAAATATTAGGAATATAATTCGAGCACATATAGTCTTGTGGATTGAAAACGAAATGAGATCGTACGTGTTTTTCTGAGCACATACAAGTTAAAATATATGTTTTTACAATATTTATTTAAAAAATAAAGTATTTACATTAGTTTTTATAATAAAATTATAGAAAATAAAAAAGGGCTCAATTTATCAAAAACAGCGCGTAACATTTTTGAGATAAATCTGGAAACTCAACCACCATATGATCAAAATAAAAATAGAATCTATAAAAAATCTACTTTTAAGATTTTCAATAATACTTTTAGTAAAGTTTCTTGCAGATGTGTGCCCTTTATTATATCGATGTTGACAAGATCCATGCTCCACTTGTTTATAGGGCGTCATCAAAAATGTTTCTAAAGCGTAACCACTGTCGCCTAGAAGCCAACTATTTTGCATACCATTACCTCTTTGTTAATGCTGCCTAGCAGCACTCATATGTCAAATAAAAGCATCATGGGTGGATCCTGGTCTGCAGCTGTCCACAACTTGCACACACTTTGTCTTCCAGGACTTTCATTACTCTCCACAATATTTTACACATTGTTGTGCGATCAACACTTATATCTTAATCATTTGCCACTACCCTCTGAAATCCAGAAATATTTGCTGCTAACTGCAGACATATTTTTTCTTTGTTGTTAAACAAATTGCAAATTCCAATGAAACAAATGTTTTTTATTGAAGACATTTCGTAACATATTGAACACAGCTATGCTTTCGAGCCGCACTTTCGCTCGAAATTGAGCACACCATTTTGCACAACATGGGAATTTAAAAAAGTATGGGAATTCAAAAACTCTCGGAACATGTCACATGGGCGAATAATTTTTGGATGAATTGAGCCGAACACTTATTTTTTGTGTTTTTCGAGTTCCGTGGTAGTTGTTAGCTGCAAATTCTGGTCCAGAATAACATTAAAGGGAAGAGCGAACAAATACACGGTGAATTGATGTCCCGAACAATGCTATTTTCTAATTTCAATGCCATTTTCTAACTTCAACAGGTTCTATAAGTTTTGCCATGGCATAATTACAGAAAGTAGTCTCATTTAAGAATTTTGTGATGGCAACCCTTTTTAATTTGGAACTCGTCTATCAATTTTAATTAAGATAAAAAAGTAAATTCCATAAAATTTTATGTATACCGATTAGCATATTTTCAAAAAATTAAACAAAATATATTTTTTAAAGCTGAACATTGCTCTCAAGATTTTACCATGGTAGTTACATCTTATATTTATACGTTTTAGAGGCAGGGAACTTCAAAATATTTATAAATAAAAATGATTTAGCAATTTTTGCCATTTTGAAAGCTGAATATTTTCAAAGGCAAATTTATGAAAAAATTGAAAACATGAGACTACCTTGTATAATTATGCCATGAAGTTTTGCTAACATCATGAAATTACATTTGAAATAATGTTTAAATTCCACACAGAAATAGTAAATCTAAACACTTAACATTCACCCCTTCATATCTATCAAATTGAAAAATATTACAACTAAATATCAAAGCTATTAATTCCATTATCAAAATATTGTAAAAAAAAAATATAGCACGAAAATCTGTTTCCAAATATTGCTTTGACAACAAACACAGAGACAAATATACAAACGAACGAACAAATAAAAAAATATGAAGATACCAAATGGTGAAATCAATCATTGTCAGATTTTATAAATCACGGTCAACAAAAAAAAACGCAAAAAAAACAGTCAACTCCCTTCCCTCCCTCGCTAGCCCACCCACAACCAATGCAGGTTGCTACTTTACATTTTTGTTTTACGTGCTGAAAATCCTCAGCAAAGCCATTGTTGCTTTTGTTGTTGTTATTAGCTTCCGGCAAACAAACCAGCAAAAAATATATCGGGGCCAATTTTTTGTTCGCGTTGTTGGCCGTTGTGCCATGAGTGAAATGTCGATTTTTCATTCGTCATTTATTGTTTCGTTGGCGTTTACATATTTAAATAGAAGATAATAGAAGATGGACGCCTTTCGACGGACGGACGGATAGACGCGTTACGTGCCAAGCGGGCGGCCAAGCAGGATGTGCCATGTACAGAAGTCGCTGTCCATTTATTTGCTTTTGTTCACTGAATAAAAAATGATGCTGTATTTTAAAATTCCGAATATATTCTATTCCAATGCTTTTTTGATGCATGCATGTGGCAGTGTGTGTGTGTTTATGATTATGAAAAACCGTCCATCCGCTGGTAGGGGATTTAAATCCTTTTTTTCCTAGTGATTAGAGTCACTCAATTAAATATGAATTAGAAAAAACGGGAGGAAAGGGAGTTAGATATTTGAATTTTAAGTTGAAGTTTTTTATGGGAAAATAGTTTTGCTTAATATTGGGTATTACGAAAACAGGGACATGTTTATACAAGATAATTTTTTTTAAATTTATGTTTTAATAACATTGTTTGAATGAATACCTTGGGTCGTTCTCCAGATTAGAATAGTGGTGATTTTTGTTAGGTTTAGAATTATTTTAAATAAAAAACAAACACATTTAAAGGAAAATAGTTTATTCAAATATTTATTGTAGGATTACTTTTAATAACAATTAGTATTGTATATACGAGTATATTTATTTATAGTATTATATTTTAAACAGCATATTTAAATAAATATTTCTCAGATAAATAAAATGAACGACAGGCCTAAAGAATATAATTTAAACCAAAAAGGAATATATATTTACAAATAATAGTTATGTATTAGGTTGGGGAAAAAAATCGTCGAAAATGTCGATAAAATCGGAGATTTGATCGAAGTTGACTGGCATGTTAGCAGTCGTAAATTCGCCCAGGAGCTAAAAATCGACCATAAAACTATTTTAAACCATTTACATAATGCTGGATTCAAAAAGAAGATCGATGTTTGGGTGCCACACCAATTAACAGAACAAGTAGGATGGATTGAATTTCCATCTGTGAAGCCTTGGCCAAACCGAATGAGATGGACCCTCAAACGGTGGCCAAAGCAGGACTAACGTTCAGGAAGGTTCTGCTATGCATTTGGTGGGACTGGAAGGGGATTATTTATTATGGGTTGCTTCCATATGGTCAAACTAAATTCTGATCTCTACTGTCAATAACTGGACCAGAATTGACGAACAGGAGAGGTGTCGTGTCCCACCAGGATAACGCTAGGCCACACACATTTACAGTGACTCGTCAGAAACTTCGGGAGCGATATATATATATGGCAAAGTTTGTTTAATGATAAAAAATGGTATCTAGGGAGGATTGTGAAAATCGACTACTAGAGATTTTTTTGCAAATAGGGAGCAAATAGGGAGACTTCTATGAGAGAGTCAAAACGGTGCAACGGACAAATCGGACATTTCGAAGCATGTTAAATAAAGTCCTATAGTTCATATAAATATAATAGATTTCTTTTTATATATTTCACTCAAAATATTGTAAACAACAAAGTGGTTAATTTCTGGATTGGGTATATATGTATGTAAATAAAAATAAATAGAATTAAAAAAATAACGTTTATATAAATAAAATTGGCCATGTAGTGACCCATATAAATTACAATTTTAGCCTTAAGTTAAAATAGAGTTTCTTTCATTTTTGTCGTCGTAGTCGTCATTCAAAGACTTTACAAATCTACTCACACATGCACCACGCATACTTTCAAATGTTCTTTCTTTATAAAGAATGACAAAATTGAAGAAAACGAAGAAGACGAAATAGCTGTGGAAAAAGAACAAGAACATGTTCATTCAGTCTACTCATTCATTTGCATAATATTCGCAAGCGCTGCTTTACACCCCCTTTTAAACTTGGAAAATGCTTTGCTGCACATTATGATGATTTCTCATCATATTCATCATTCTGGATCCGTGTTAGTTTTGTAAGGCTTTGATATTTTTTTTCAAAAATTGCAAGTGTGCGTGAGGGGAAGCCAGGATGCGTCCTTTCTATTGTATGCTTGTTTTTGTGTGAGTCAGTGTGTGTGTGTTTGGTTGTTCATAGACTTTGTAACATCTTGTTGTAGACTTTAATATGATGAAATTCCTTGAAGGCATCGCGAAAACGTAATTTTTGTTCAGTGCCCAATTTCGCATAGAAATCCTGGGCAGATGTCACGAACAATGCAATTTCGTGATGACCCAATTTCGTTGAACTCATTCGTTTTGTTGGTGTTGTCGGTGTCAGCGGTGTTGTTTGTGTTGTTGTTGTTGTCGCCGTGGCTGCCTTTACGCCATTCAACAGCAATGGAAACAGTTTCATTAAATGGAGATTTATGGAGGCCGAAAGGAACACCACGCTAAGACTCCAGACAGCTTTCTGCTCGGGCAACGATAAGAACGTGGGTAATGAACAGGTAAGCCAATCCTGTAATTGTTGCAAAAATGAAGAATCAATGGCCGAACGGAAAACCTGTTGAAAAACGAGAAAGAGAGAACAACAACATCAAAAACATGAGTAACAACAAAAACAACGACATCGCCAATCAGAGCAGATGTCATTAACGCCGTATGGTGGCGCTGGTAGCGTTCACGTAAAAGATTAAATTTGCTGATAAATTAATGCACACACTCAGACACACATACTACACACATTCATATAAACATGAAATGAAATTAAAACTGAAAAATACAAAGAAGAGAAATGTTTCTATACAGGACTCAAGGAAGAAGAGGACGTCGATGACGAGGTTAATGGGTTTTAATTTAATAGAACCGCCGCCTGTGTTCGTTCACTCGCCGATACATAGTACAAGGAATTAATTTAATTTGAGATTTTATTTCAAATGATACATTAAGAGATTTAATTCCATGCATCATCCGCCTCGTCTTAGGTCATTAGCGGTAACGACTAATTATTATTTTATGGCATGTTAAATATCAGCAAATGGAATCAAATTATCCATAGATAAATGTAAATAGAGTTTCGAATTAAAATCGAATAAAGTTATGGTATGGGATATTTTAATCGAATTATAGTGGTGAGTGATTTCGTTGAATTTTAGAGCATTCGAAAATATTGGAAATGGCACATTGTTAATGTATGGGAAAGGAATAATAAATTCACTAAGATATAATTCTCATTTTGCTCCTGGCAATAAAATTCAATAGTACATTATATGCCCACCTCGTGGTGGAGGATAAAAAAGTTATTCGGTAAGCCTTCGCCGAATTCTATGGACAATACAAATTCAAATGCGATGTCAAATTTACCATGGATCAACCTTTATTATCAAGCACTGCACAATATGTTTAGGGAGTTTCGCACGATGATGATTTCATACAAGAATTTAGTCATCTTTGACATTCTGGGCTCGAGTGAAGACTGACGCTAAGTAATGCAACCGAACTGCTCTCAAACAGCATAACTTAATTTATCGTTCATTAGATAGAATATCTCGACTAGTGCAAGTGGAAAACCCAATCCTTGCTAATCATTGCCCTCTATTTGCCAAGGTACGACTTATCGTGATTCTACTGTCGAAAGCTATTTCCACAATCACTTGTAATTTCGCTACAATAATACAATAAAATGTTCTACAATATACCACACAATTTCATAAAAACAATAACAATTTCGATTAGCCGAATAGACTCATCCTAAAGGCTGTAATTTATATCTCAACATTGAAATTTAATGATTCAAATGGCAAATAACGTCAATTTGCTTGAACTCAATAATTCTATTGGGCAAAAGTACATGACATCGGTCTATATTTATATGTATGCATCTCAGTGTGTGTGAGTGCTCGCCACTTATATATAAAGCAAACTTGGCCAACATATTGGCTAGTAAAAATAAAACACACACATTCACATGCACACGCAGAGAGATCAATGGTACATAATACCATTTATTTGGGGTGGCAAGTGTGGAGTTCAAGTACTTACCTGGAATACAATCATTGCAATAACATCGCTATGTGGTTGATTTATGGCCAAGAACTCCTTTATGACCTTCGTCAATATTTCTTTGGGCGGCACTAAATCACGTATCATTTGGCACAACACCTGGCCATAAATCCAAGCCGCTTCTTCGTTTGCGGTTTTAATGCATTGCAGCAAAATATCGACCTTATCCGTTTGCTGGGCGATTATCTCGGGGTCGTCTTGTACAATGCCATTGCTTAATTCGGTATTCTCCAATTGTTTTGAAGAGCCTATTAGAGTAGAGAATGAATAAAATTTGAAAAACGAAAAGAACCAGAGAACACGTTATTAGATATCATAAAGCAAATGAGTGAACTGAAATTAAATGATTGCATTTAAAGGGATTGCAATAATTAAACAAATTATTTGTGTTTGAAATCGAGATTGATGTGTGGTAATTAGAAAAATATTTTCAATTCGTGAAGGCTGTTGCTTTTTCTAAAATTGAACAAATCGTTAAATCTTTACAACATACTTTTCGTACCAATTTAATTATGGGTCTATATTTTATACATGTATATCAAAAAGCATTGTGCTTTGCCAACAATATTTTTTTTTCTTTTTAATCATTTTTGCGGCAACGTGATGACATAAAAACCATCTTCATAAATTTAACTCAATTTCACTTCTGCCAGACACAACCTTTTTTCACACCCACACACATAAAAAGAAAAACCTCACCATTCAAATCATCCAACCCAATTTTCAATTTAATGTAAACCTTTAAAAATTGCATTAGCCTGGTGACCTTGATGTGTAAATGGGTCTTCTGTCATTGTTTTATGACCTTCCCCTTTCGCTCTTTCTCTCCCACCCGCAGCCACTCGTTTGACATTCAAAACGAAAAATTGAATTGAAAAAAAATGTAACACAACCCATCACAATATAAAGGGAATAATAGCAGGGTCGGAAGCAATTTCATGAATAAACTGCGAAAGTGAAATAACATCACTTCCATGTAATGAAAATATTGTTGTGCCAACAACAAACAACAACAATGCTGGTGATGATGATGAAAATGAAATTAGAAAAAAGAACTGAAAAAATCACATAACCATCAACACCAGCATAGCCCTTTGCAGACGACAATTCCCACGAAATCAATATCAGAGATTGTTAATATAAAAAATAACAACAACAACGACGACGACGATGGCTAACATCACAAAAATTTGTATAAAATGGAGCCAATACAATTTTAACTAAAATACACAATCAAACACACACATACACACTCAAAATTGCCTGGGTGGGTATATATGTATATGGTTGTATGTATGCACACACATACATAAATGCAAATAAACTGTTAGCTGACTATGTTACATCCATTTACAAGTCCACTCAATTTGTCCTTCTTCTTTTCCATCACAGTTAGTTGTCAATTCATTGTTGAAATCAGTTGGAAATATTTTTGTAACACTTACCCACATAAATGCAGGACAAAAGTAATTTCAGTGCGGGAATTGAAAATTTCTCGTTTTCCAATTTGGCCAGTTCAAGAGCAAGTTTTTCAATTGCGGGCCTCAACATTTGGTTTTGGTTGTCTACACCACTGCTGCTGTTGCTGCTGTTGCTGCTGCCGCTGGTGACGTTGCTAACTTTATTGTCCTGGACAATCATACGCTCCAAACCCTATAAATGAACAATTCGACAAAAAAAGGAGAGAGAGAGGGAGAAAAAAACGTGAAAATAGAACAATACATGTAAAATCAAAAATTCACATTTGTAGTTATTTTATAAATGCAATAGAAAATTTAAATGGTTGGTATAATAATTGTGGTAAATAATATATGTAAAAAATATTTTTTTCTTAAAAATAGTGGTAAAATTCTGCCAGGCCGATCTTTTTTATACCTCCTTCACAATGAGGTGAGCAATCAAAATACCTAAAATCACCGGGAACTTTATATGGCAGCTACATCTTGGCAAATTGCTGCCAAGAAGATTTTCATCCTTTGAGAAAGCGAAATATCAAATTACAGATTCAGGCTTGGACCTTCATCATACAGAAACTAAGTTATACCTTTATATTGAGTTTTCACTCAAATGACAACCAAAAACTTCGGTTGAAAAATGCGCTTTGGACCATAATAAGTCTTACAAAGTAAACGGAAATGTATATAGGCGCTATGCCTACATAGAATATTTTGTTCAGATATATTTTTCACACATTCAAGAACCTGGAATGCCAAATTACGGCTAAATCGTTTGGAAAAATAAATACCGAAAATGGAGCGAAACCTTAATGTGGAGACTAGACCAAATTGTGGACAAATATTTCCCAAACATCCTAGGAGTAGTAGACAGTTATTGCTAAATCGACATAGAATTCTATTTATTATAATTGCATTCTTTTAGGAGCTACATATAAATAAATAGAATAGTGAAAAACGACTTCCAGGATTTTAGAAATTTAATTATTAGGGTAGTACCATGACAATATATTCTTATTAATTAACAGACTGTTCTCTACATAGTATCTACACATACATATATTAACATATTCCTATAACTATCGAAATTGGTTACAACGAAATATAACACAAAACGAACACACACACACATACAAATACATATGAGAATTTCCTATGTAAACGATTTTTGGCTGGCTGTTGTTTTCCATTACGATTTGTGTTGCTTATTTTGGCATTGTTGTAGTTGCTGACATTGTTGTGGTCCACAGCGTTGTTGCTGCTGTTGTTTTTGTTGTTTTGTCATTGAAAATTGGGAATGGATGGATTTTAGATGTTTTGAGGTTCCGTTTTTTGTTTCTGTTTTTCTATTTTCTGTGTAGAAGTTTTTTTTCTATTTGTCCTCACTTGGGCTTTTTAGAAAAGCCACATGTAAACAGCAGTTCTCTACAACTGCAACAACCACAACAATAAGAAACAGCCGAAACCATTGGCAAATGTTGGTAGAAGAACCAACCAAGCGAATGAAATAAAACTAAAACAAATTAAGATAATAACAATAAAAATAACAATTGCAATTGAATACCAGCGGAATAGTATCAGCGAACCACAAAACACATATGAAGTCAAAAACTGGGGTTCGAATTTTGGTATATTTCGACCAAAATATAAACAATCGAGTTACTTCTAGCAACATCGAAAGTTACGTTATCTCAAATAAACGTCGTACTCATATACACATACACTTGACACCCTTAAAAGAGAGACTAAAGGTAATAGTAAAAAATTCTAATCGGTATCGGTTCCGTATTTATTGTACAATCCAATATTAGAATAAATTTTATTATCAGTTCATCGACCATTACTTCGGGCAAATGTCTAATCTTGTGATGTTCCGACAAATGTCTAATTTTGTGATGTCCATCAATACGAATGCTACAATATATACTTCTGGTCCAATTCCACTCTTCTGAGTGGCATTGGATGACAAGTCCAGGTTGCACGGCGATAAACCCATCAATTTTACCATCCGGCCGATCAAAATGGCGCTGTTTTGAGCCGATGTCACATTGTTATGATGCAGAATGATTAATTTGTTTCGAATTTCTCCGAAGACTTCATTTAAATGAAACTTCAACTACGGGTTAGGTTATCACATTTAATTGATGCCGAATTTGCTGCACATCTGACAATTTTTAAAAATAAGAATAATAGGGTTAAAATATATTCATTTGCATCATCCATATTATATCCTTATACATATATCAAAGCCTTGCAAAAATTTATTTAAAAAAGCTCACGCCTATATCAAAGCCTTCAAAAAATATCCTTAAAAAAAACTCACATCTATATCAAAGTCTTCAAAAAAATTCGTTAAAATATCAAAGCCTTCAAAAATATTTTATTTAAAATTCAAAGCTTTTAAAAAATCCACGCTTATATCAAAGCTTTTAAAAAATCCACGCTTATATCAAAGCTTTTAAAAAATCCACGCTTATATCAAAGCTTTTAAAAAATCCACGCTTATATCAAAGCCTTTAAAAAATCCACGCTTATATCAAAACTTTTAAAAAATCCACGCTTATATCAAAGCCTTTAAAAAATCCACGCTTATATCAAAGCTTTTAAAAAATCCACGCTTATATCAAAGCTTTTAAAAAATCCACGCTTATATCAAAGCTTTTAAAAAATCCACGCTTATATCAAAGCTTTTAAAAAATCCACGCTTATATCAAAGCTTTTAAAAAATCCACGCTTATATCAAAGCTTTTAAAAAATCCACGCTTATATCAAAGGCTTCGAAAAAGCTTTTAAAAAATCCACACTCATATCAAAGCTTTTAAAAAATCCACGCTTATATCAAAGCTTTTAAAAAATCCACCCTTATATCAAAGCTTTTAAAAAATCCACGCTTATATCAAAGCTTTTAAAAAATCCACGCTTATATCAAAGCTTTTAAAAAATCCACGCTTATTTAAAATAAGGTTTATTTAAACATTGCCTTTTTGGTCTAACTTTAAAGAAAAAAATTAGTTTGAACGACAACACTGTTAACAGCTCCAGGAGCAACACCACCATCACCACGCGCATAGTAGTAATACAAAGCCACTCTGTCACTTGGAGAGTGGCTGCAGTTTTGCTTTTCACTGGGGTTTATTTTGTTCTCCATGTTGTAATAGCAGCTCATTGAAATTGTGTATCACAAAACGAAATCAATGTTGGATAATAAAAAACACACAGATTCAAATTCGTTTTTTTTTTTTTGTCTTCTTCTGCTCTTTTGTTGTCTGACTGCAACAATGGTGGTTTGTTATGTCGCTGATTTAAAAATAATTGAATGTGACGAAATGGATGGAGGTAGGGTGGATGTAGATCATTGAATACAATTCATAATGAAATTAATATAAAAGATAATTGACTGAAAATCCAATCATATTTGAATAATATTTGCAAAGAAACTAAAAACTTCGAAATATCTCTGAAAATTACAAATGAATATTTAATTTACCAATATGTGTTTACGTTGAAATATACATCCTCCAGATTAATAATAATTCATAATAGCATTCGTAATTTAAAAGAGCTTATTATTATGTACTTACATGCAAAACACACAAATAAATCTGTTCATTGCTTGTCTTTTTCAATAATTTGCCAACAGTTATTTTCGTATGATAGGCCACATTACAGTGTGGATCCAACTTTGAGGTCCATTCCATTAAACAGAAATTTAATGTCCAAATTAATTTCGTATGCAAGTCACTGCATTGCAAAGGACTGAAAAGCCACAAAATAAAAATGAAAAATATAAAAAATGAATGTTTGAAAAAAGAATTCTGATACACCACCACTTACCTCTCCTCAATTAGACCATGCTTATCGATATACGATAAAATAATATCCTTTAGACGCACCAATTCATCACTCAACCTGCCAATGGTCGTATTCGTTTTGCTATAACTCTCCAATAGGCTTAGCAGACCATTCAGTGCCGCACAGCGTACAAACAAATGTGATGACTTTAAGTAGTTCTTGATTAGACTTTCCAGACTTAACATTTCCAGATGTGAGGGTATCAGCATGCCCTTGGTCTTGCATAGCAAATAAATCAAATACTGATGTGAAATGGTATCGTCCATGGGTATGTGTGACTTTAGATAGCCTGCCTTTTCCCAAATTTGTTTGATTTGTTCACGATTTTCACAGATTTCGGTGAATTTAACTAAATTTGGCAGAATTAAAATGTGGTTTTGCTGGAATTCAGAAAAGAAAACAAAGAGAACAGAGAATAAGTAAAGAAAATACTGTAATAAAAATGTGATATATTGGCAAAGGTGAAACGTGTAGCACTTTACAATGGAGGGCAATCGAAAAACGTTAAAAGCTACTCTTAAAAAATAGCATATAAGTAGAAAGAAATATACATATAAAGATAACGCAACTGTCCTCATTTTTTTTTTTTTTTTTTTTTTTTGAAGTAGACTATTTTAATATTGGAGGACAGAACCAATGAGGCGGACAATTTCTAAAGTTCTACATTTTGTTTGTAATGCCTAAAAGTATGCCACGGGGGTTTAAGAATAAAAACCATTAATTAGGTCGAAAGAAATTTCAATATTATTATGAAATGAAATTCTTATTTTCCAGTATTCTTCTAGTTACAGATGATTCTTCCGGATATTCGTTTTAAAACTCATTATTCCAACCAGAAGATTGTAGGGGATATGTAAACGTCTTTTCTCCCTATTGAGAATTCTTACAAAGGACAACAAACACACAAATATAATGGTGTAGGTGAGTGTGTACGTTTAAATTTGTTTACAACTGAGTGAGTTTCACATTCATGTGCGAAATGTGCATCCGTTCAAAGGAATTTATCCGTTATATGGTGTATTCCACCACCATCACATATACCGTCTATTCCATATGTTTTGATATTTGTGTATTTTTTTTTCCTTCTTTCCAATGTTTATGGAAGTCGTCCCACATCCTTGCATTTAAGTATTTATACAACCATTATTTTAAGTTTGAAGTTATGAAACCTGCACATATATATTTTTGTAGTCAAACGATTTAAATCATTTTGTAAAAGTATAAGAACTTAACATCATCAGGTTACGATTCTGTAGCGGATTTCAAGAAGTGATTTTCATAGCATTATTTGAGATGAAAATCTAAATGATTTAAATATACGAATTTCCAAACTCTCTCAAAGGACCAAAGGGAATGTGCAGGTCGTTTGTAATAAAATTCTGACAATACCAAAATCTTTGCATTCGATTGCATATGTAACGTTTTCCACAGCTATGTGCGATTAAAATGGACAAACGAATCAAGCCGCCAATCGATTATACAATAAACCATTATTTAACTTTTGTTAGTATCCTCCTTACACATATTTTATCAATTAATCGCAAAAAGCACCGAACCATTTAGTAAGCTCATACCCTCGACTGCTTTATTACTATGCTGTTAATACCATTATACTAACACCGAATATTAATTACACTATCTGTAGCTCGAATTTGTATTTATTCTCTATGGGGCTGGTACAAAAAGGTTGGTCAATTGACTAGCTATCAATAGCCAATCAATTGCTCGGAAAAGAGCGATATATGAGATCAATTTCAAATGTTGATTGCAATCGCTCATATTTTGGTATATCTTAGCCTGTCGCAAATAGTTTATTAAAAAATATATAGCATCTGGTCCAAGATAACATTTCACACCTAAGTATTTAAATATTAAGTACAAAATTAAATCCAAATTTACTTACCTCAATCATTTGCATTAGAACATCGAAAATCAATTGAGAACTACTCTTGTAATCCACTCCCGATTGTCGGGTAAAATATTGATAATTGCGATATGCAGTGTTGGCAGCAACACCACTCAAATGTTTCGATACAACATCGGGTGATGGGGTCGTTGATGTTTTTGAGCCAATAACTTCTTCCGTCATACCGCTATCACTATCATCAAACGATGATTGACGCGATGTGGAAACCATTTCCATTTGTTGCCATATGAAATTCAAATCAAATTGATTTGCTCCAAAATAATGCGTACCAATTACCGTATCCGTCTTCAAGTTACGTTCCAAATTGCCATGATAGAAAACATTCAGCGGAGATATGATCAACTGAATTTCATGCAATTTCTTGAGGCTGAAAGGAAGAAGAAGAATAGAACAATTCAAAAAAATGATTTAATTAATTTTTTCCTGGGAAAATAAATTGTTTGTTTTAATATTAATTTCGACATGTTGCTGTTTTTGTTGTTATTACTGATGAATACATTAAAGTGTAATTAAAAAGCTTTTCATAAAATTATATCTCGACAAAAAAAAAAAATTTTAATGGGTAAAAAGTTTTTCACTTTTTTCAGCAGTTTTTTCGTCGGTTTATTGTTTTATTTCGAGGAAATGTAATAAAACTGTTTTGCAGCACAAACGTTAGAATGTTAAACCAGTGAGATATGGCGGGGGATGTTAAACAAAATTGTCCATTTTGTAATTTTAAAACAAAGGTTGGGCAAAAAATTCATATTTGTGGCGTTGATGACGAAATGTAACTATTTTTGGGTAAGTTGTTTGTAAAATGAATATAATATATTGTTTTATATAGGAATTAGAAATGTAGGAATTAGAACTTTATATAAAATAACCTAGTCTTTTATTTTCGCTACTCATTGTTAGGCACTGCTTCTTATCATAACATGTTTAAAAATTCATTTTGTTGTACAGCTTTATATTTCTTAACGCGAAACGCGTCGCATAATGGTGGGTACGTAGGTTCTTCTCCTGACTTTCCTTTTCATTGCAAAACTTAGATCATCAAGCTCGACTCGAAAGAGTATAAATAATCACTTAAAATTACTTTCAAATGATCACTGCCCTTACAAGGCAAAATTCAAATAACAAAAATTAATTTTGATTATCGATATCCCCATTATCTAATCCTATAACATATTTTTAATTCTTAATTTTAGTCATCATTCACTCATCAAAACCTTATATAGTAATTAATTTGTATACATTCCATATATAAACATACCAATTTGTTGCAAATACTCTGTGCAAACTAAAGGACGTAACTAACCTTAGATGATGTTAGCAACAAAATTTGATCAACAAAAAGTGTTAAAGCATCTGTTGTTTGTTTACGATCATATCCTTTTTTACATGTTGTTTTTTTACTTTTATTATTATTTTTAAACATATTTGTGTGTGTTTGAAAGAAGTACTGTTGGTATGTAATTTTTGATGTTTTCATCTACAGAATCAACAAAAATAAGCAACAACAACATTTCAACGTTGTGTGAACTTTGTTGGTAAAGTCAAAATAAAAACAAATATTTTTATATAACCACATACATATATGGGCAATATTGCCAATTTTTTAACATAGCTGAAGCGGAGGTTCACTCCTTTATAACTGGGGAACTGCTTAAGTATATGAAATAAAGTGAATAGTTTTGGGTTAATTGATCTGTCGTTGCAAACTGTTCATGATATTGGCCTCCAAACTTTATTTTGGTGGAAGCTGTGTCTACTTTAATGTAAAAAAATGTGTAAAAACAGGTTGAGGCGAACCAGTTTTTTATGTTCTCTATCGATTTGTGACTAAGCCACTCATTGCACGGTCTTCGTGTCAAAATAAAACTAGAAGCCAACAAAATGGGGACTACGTCCCTTATGTATCATTTTTCAAAATTTTAACTGCATCTACCTTTAAATGATGCTGACATATTGAAGCTCGATTTTGAGTGTTTTTTTAATTTTACTTCTAGCTTTAAAATCTTCTTCGTGAAAATCCATCTACTACAACGGCGGGAACTGGCCTTCCAAAAACACGAAATTTGGCAAAAAATGTTTTTGAAAATATCGCGGATTTATTTGCGTTTTCTGTGTATCATTTCCGCTTCAATAAATGACCTCATACGGATTTTGATATTTTTCGAAAAGAGAACTTTAAAAACTTCAGCCGAAAGAGAGATGTACGCATTTTATCTCAAAAATAGATTGTGCTGGTACATCCATGGTTCTTAATGGACCACATTGAAATGGTATAGATCGATGTATTTTTTTTAAGGTGCACACCGAAATCGGATGCGCGTTAATGGCATATGGAGATTTTGGAAATTATTCGCGTTTTACAATTTTTAGGGTACTTCAATGCAACGTGTGGCACATCTTAGCCGTCAAATGAAATTTCGCAAAATATATATGGATTGGAAGATAAACATCAACGTACTTGTGTGATTTTGATATCATTTGATTCACCATCGTGTTTAGATTATGTAGATATGTTTAAATTAATTGTTAGGTGTGTGTATGTCATTAATATAATGAAAATATTGAGGTAATCTCCTATATTTTTATTATTTTTCTCATATTTCGCGAGGATGTGCAACTTTTTCGCGATGATTATAATATATGCATATTCTTATTTTACGGATGAAGATATATATCAACTTTTTTGGTCAATATAATAAACGGCGTAATTTTAAGATTTTTTTCTTATGTCCAAAATTAAAACCTCGATAACTTTTGCGCGCATCAACCAAAAATTTGATCGCGAACGGTTTCGGAGTCAGAACATTTTTCTCTATATGTGTACCAAAAATCATTGATGTGCCACAAAAACAAAAAAGCTGATTTTTTGAAAATGGAATGTTAAAAAATTGGCAATATTGCCCATATACATATACTATGAATATGTTTCGTGTAATAGATGTTTGGTGTAATTCCTGTTACTGTTGTTTTTTTCCATAACATCATTTACGAGATTAACATCAACAACATCAACTTGATACCGATCAATCCGATTGACCACTTAAAAACAAAGTTTGTTAAAAGTATATTTCTCAATAAATGAATTGAAGTGGATTTTGAAAATGATAAGGACTTAGAATTATAACACATACAAATGTATATCAAAAGGATTATTTGAATTCGCAGTAAATGAATTTTGTTTGCTTTGTGATTAATTTTTTGAGTGGTGAATTTTTTTATTATTGTTATATAAAATATATTGTTAATATAGAATTATAAATAGATCGGATTTATTTTGAAAATGTGATTTGTATTTTGGGAAATCGAAATGACAAAATGAAAGTAACTTAGTTTAAAGAAAATGCGTCCCTCAAAATATTAAATTATAAAATTATTGGTAATGCTATATATTGGCCTTGAAGGCTTTTGTATTATTGATTTGAAGGAACAAATAAATAATGATATTTTAGAAAAAAGGAAAATATTGAACATTTTGTGTCAAAATTAAAGAACGCCTAGTTCATTAACCCTTTGTGGCCCAATGTTGCCCACAGGCAACAAAATGTTTTAGATCTTATATTTAAAATGCTGCTAGTAGATATATACTCTTTGGATTTCATATGTCAAGTCCTGATTATGGACCAAACATATCACAAGAAAAATCTAAAAAAATTCAATTTTTTCGTAAAGTTATTAGTATTTTAATATAGAGAAGAGGGCAAAAATGTGAACAGTACTAATTTGTGTATACAGTCCAAATTATTTAAATCGCTTCGTATTCGAAATGTACAAATTCTGCCATCATAATTATTATTAATTCTTGTAAAACAGAATATATGGTTTTCTTGATATTGGGCTTTTGTTCTATGATTACGGAAAAAAATTCGGGGCTCAAAGGGTTAAAAAAATTGAAAATTTGCTGGTTGGAAATGCGACGTAGCCCTACAAAATATTGAATAAGCCAGATCCGTTTAATGGAGGCAATTCCAAGAATTAAACCGTTATAAGCCGCTTCCATTACAAAACATCATCAATGCTATATCGTGATTTCAGCAGACATGGTTAAATCGCTATGGAATTATACTCTAGTCAAAAATAATACAAGTTCGCCGACAAACATTTCGACGTACTTTTATATTCTCCGACTCCTTCTATGTTGAAGGGAAACAGCTTGACATTGGCATTCTGAAAATGTCATCAATTTGTACACAATACGAATTAAAACGACTGCATCATCCCGAAATCAATGTCTAGCATAATTTGCATTGTTTTTCCATCATATATTATTTTCCCCTTCAGAAACATTTTAAAATAAAAATTTAATTTCCCTAAAATACTTTTGATCTCAATAAAGGAAGTGTCATAAATTAACCAAAGTTATAATGAACAAAAATTCACTCATTAGACACTGATCACAAAATAAAGTAAAGAAATGCAGCCACGAGGGAAAGGTGTGCACTTGAAAGCAGCAGCAACACACAAACCCTCAACCTTACTAAGGCACAGCAATGCAATTGTAAACGACCCTGAAACAATTTCGTAGCAAATATCTACCTAAAGCCCCTGCGAACCCACCCACGTTATAGGTTACACACGTTGTCGGTGGTTTGCCGCGGTGTTAGCGGTGGCATTGCCACGCAAAATACAAATAGTTTCATAAGTAAAACGTTTTGTATTCCATTTCCGTAAAAACGACACCTGTTTAAAAACGCAAAAAGGATTGCCGCTTCACTGTTCGCACACACACAGTGAAGAACAATGCCAATGGCGGCAACAATAACATAAGCGACAGCAACAACAAATAGCAGTTCAGAAGGATGTTCACTTCGTTTGCAGTTTTGTGAAAAGCCCTTAAGTGCCATAATGTTATCTAAATTGTACTCGTAACATTTAAGAGAGCATGAACAGACATTCTTTTGAAAACACACACACACACACACATACAAACTCAGCCATTCAACATCATAGATTTGGCAAGTGTGCAAATGTCTTTTAATTTCTTTTCTTGTGCACCAAAAAACAAAAAAAACTAATAGTTTTTCATTACAATTCGATGTTACTTTTAAACTAACAGACTAAAAAAATTTAACGGAGGGTGATGTGACAAATTTTTGTTAAAGATAGACTTTATCTACAGTAAATATTCTACAAAAATTATCAGTAGATGCTCATAATACGCGAACCCAAATACATATATAATTCAGAACACAGAATATATGGTAGACTATGTTTGCTAGGAAAGGGGTCTTTAGACGAACTATATATATATATATATATTTTAATTGAACAAGAATACGTTTAGTCAGTATATAGTCGAACGGACGAACGATCAGGTGATAGATTGCATAACTAAACTTGAAACTGTCGTGCAAATTCTAATTTTGTATGGTCAACATAAACTAGTAAAAACGTCGTTAAGTTCGACCGTTATTTGGAGGCTATACAAATGCACGACAATTTTAGCGAAAAAGAAACCAGAGTAAAATTACAGTGTCATTTGTCAGGAAGGCTAAAGGTATTTTGTCGGCAAAAATCTGTTGGGACCCTTATAGGCTATGCCAAAAAATTGTCCTACGTTATAAATGTTCTGTAAAGATTTAACTTTTTGTTGCTTTTTCCACTTTTCTGAAAATGTTCATACCACCTACTACATAATATCCTACCACATCCTCGAATCAAGGTCATTTATATAATTACTATACACACGTACATACACGGACGAACATTGTGTGTCCAATCTACTTCACTTTGGAAATGTTTTATGAATGCAGCAGCACTACTTCATTCGCACTTACCTTATGCTATCACAATTAATACGATTCCATCGTGTCGTGTGATGATAGAGTGAAAGTTTATTTCCCACAATTGGAAAACTTTTGTAGGTAATTAAAAGTTCCATAATGGCTTCCAAGCAAATACTGCGAATTTGAAATTGTTCTTGCTGGTCCACCATATTCTCGTCGTAAACTTTATTGATCAGCAGCAGGAATGTCATAAAATATTCTTCAAATTGTTGACGTGTTGTAAAACCAAAAATCGACAATCTATAAAAACAAGCAGAAGAAATAGAAAAGAATTTTGAGACAAAGGGAATATTAAAAAAAGAGGAAATATACATTTCAAGAAGTCAAAAATTGCAATGAGATGAGACCAGCAAAAAAATGCAGTTCAAAAGTATTTGCAAATTTAATAGCTAATATAAAAAATAGGAAAAAGAGAGGAAAGAAAATATAGAAATGAATCAGAGAAAAATATATCAATGTCAAAAGGATACGCGCTACACTAGTCTGGGTATATATTAGAATTAATTCAATACTGCAATTATAAACAAGCAATTATAAAATGCATATTGTATTCTGAATCCACCAATTCTTTTTTAATCTGAATCCATTAATATTTTTAAAACATTTTCAGGACGTAATTGCCAGATTTTTCTTTGGTATAGCTTTAATCGGATATAGAAAATATGTTGCCTTTCCCAATGAATGTATAACTGTATGAAAATTAAATTGTCGACCTGGACCGATTTTAAAACAAATAGACAAATCCTGCCTTACAAAGAGCCATAATTTACATTCTTTTAATTGAAAACTATTATGGTCAAAATGTCATAATTCGTATGTGCCCTGATTATGACATGTACTTATGGAGTAGTGCTATTTAGATACGAAAGAGTGCACAGTCCCAGTATATTTAATTTCTCAATATAACTCTGTGTAGTGTAATGTAACAGTCCTATAATAATGACACAAGTATGCACGCCTTATTATAGGTCACTAAAAGCGAATTCTTCTTCAATTTTTCACAGATACATTTTTTCAAAATTTTCTTTCATCTCTTTATCTCCATTAATGCGTAACACTTTAAACTTGTTCGTGGTCTCACCATTGCTTCACTCACTGACTTACTCACATTCACAGTGACCAGAGTTAACGTTCTTACCTTCGGACAAAGCTCTTCAAAATATCGACATCACTTAGACTTTCAATTGGAATAATTGGCAACATTGAATTGCTGGTTACCATAGCTGTGCCACCGGTGACCGATTGATTTCTATGATGGGATGGTGATGTTGATGGCGATGCTGCAGCACTTGGTGGACAGGATAGTAAGCGTTGTTGTTGTTGCATGATTTCCAAGGGTGTTACGGCTGTTGCATAAAACAGATTCATTCGCAATGTTGAAATACCAATCGATAGCAAAACATCCTGCAAAAAAAAGAGAAAAAACGAGGACGGTAAACAAAAACACATACACACAAGTAAGTGTGAGTAAGTATAAAAAACACATGTCAGAAAAGGTAATGACGATAGTGTAAGTGTTGTTGTAGGTGTAGTGTTAAATTAACATCAATATTTCATGAAAATACTTTAGTATTCTTTTGGGAATAGTTTGGGTTTTTTTTTCTTTCACATATTCATTTTAACAAATATTTGTGAATCACACTGAAATATGTAGTGATTTAATATTGCTGAATTTGTATTTATAAAATTAAAACTATATCATTTCCAAAATATTCTTAAAAACATAAAACAGGGGACTAAAATTAGTCCATAAAAATCCATGAATACTGCAATGAAGTACGCTTGATGAAATCGAAATTTATAAAACGAATATTTTTTAATCCACAATATCGCAATTATAGACATCAAAAAACGTACTTTATAAAATAGAAGATTTTTTTTTAATTCTATATATCCTGATTTTGGTTTGTCTTCGAGATATGCGGTACACTACAAGAACAAATATATTTTATGACAGGAGTTAATATAATATCGATTGTATACTGGTGGAAGAAATGCACAAGGAAGACCCGATCTCATGGCATGCCTCATTTATACATTTAGTCCAAGTCAACAAATTTTTGAAATATAAATATCAAATATTCTTGTTCTTATTTTTTTAAATCAACTATACACGAAGAATATTGTTTCTCTTTTATTTTTTTAACTTGAATTAAAATCCACAATTCTTGAAATATACTTTTTTTACTCTATGACCTTTAAATATTTGTTTTACACGATTCTTGATAAATATTTTTAATGAACGATTCTTGTAAAACCACCATTCTTTAATTTTAAATTACACTTATTTAATCCACATGTGATTTAAGATAATACTAATAAAATGATTATGAATTAAATCTATATATATAAAAGAGCTTAGTGTTAAGTGAGTGAGTGAATGACTGACAGATCATCGCCCATACGAAACGGCTAAAGCTAGAAGCTTGAAATTTTGGGTGTTGGTTGGTGTTGGTGTGTAGGCGTGAGATAAGGCTGGGTTTTTGGAAATTCGAACTAGAAGGGTACGAAAAGTACTAAAATGTACCAAATATGGTACCCTTTGTATTAGGCGAACGGGAAGAGCTAGAATTCTGAAATTTGGAATGTGGGTCACTGATGTAAAGTTAGGAAGATTACAAAAGCGTTTTTGAAATTCGTACTAGAACGGTACGAAAAGTACTAAAAAGTACTAAATGTGATACCATTTGTATTTGACGAACCGGTAGAGCTAGACCTCTGAAATTTGGATTGCTGGTCGCTGAGTGTAGGATATATGTATCAACGGGTTTTTGGAAATTCGAACTATAAATATCCGAAAAGTACTAAAATGTACTTAATTTTGTACAATTTCGTACCATGTGAATTGATAGAGCTAAAAACTTGGAATGCGAATTAGGGATGAGATGTAGAGTCCATTTAAGGAGATGGTTTTGGAAGCGTGTACTCATGTGTACGAAAAGTACTATATGATACTATATTTGGTACAAATTTAATTTGGAGATAAAAATCGAGCTGGAATCCTGAAATTTGAAATTAACATTACCGTCGGAGTGTAGGATTGGGAATGTACGTAGTTTTGGATTTTTTACCCAGTTTCAGTAATTTTTATTCATGGGTACTAAATGGTACTAAATTTGGTACAATTTGAATTTTATGCAAACCAATAGAGCTAGAATCATGAAATTTGTAGTCAGGATCACTGTTGGGGTGTAAGATCGAGATATGTAGGATGTTTTAACAATTTTTACTAATATGTACTAAATTTGGTATAATTTGAATTGTGGGTGAACCGATAGAGTTGAAATCCTAAATCTTGGATTTAGGATCACTCTGGGGGTGAAAGTTTGGGTTCAGTGGGACGTTTTGGAAATTCGTACTACTGTGTACTAAATTTGGTACAATTTGAATTGTGAGTGAACAGAAAGAGTTGTAATCCTGAAACTTGGATTTAGCATCTATGTTTGGGGTAAGTAAGAAGTTTTCGAAATTCGTACTACTGTGTACTTAATATCGTACAATTTGAACTGTAGGTGAACCGATAGAGTTGAAATCCTGAAACTTGGATTTAGGATCACTGTGGGGGTGTAGGATTGAGATATTTAGGAAGTTTTGGAAATTGGTACAACTATGTACTAAATTTGGTACAATTTGAATTGAGGGTGAATTGAGTTGGAATCCTGAAACTTGGATTTAGGATCACTGTGAGGGTGTAGGATTTGGGAAGTTTTGGACAATTTGACAATTTGAATTGTGAGTGAACCGATAGAGTTGTAATACTGAAACTTGGATTTAGGGTCACTGTGTGGTTGTAGGGTTAGGGTAAGTTGGAGGTTTTGGAAATTCATACTACTGTGTACTAAATTTGGTACAATATGGATTGTGAGTGAACCGATAGCGTTGGAATTCTGAAACATGGAATTAGGATCAATGTGGAGTGTAGGTTTGGGTTAAGTAGGAAGTTTTGGAAATTCGTACTACAGTGTACTAAATTTGGTACAAATTGAATTGTGGATGAACCGATAGAGTTGGAATTCTGAAACTTGGATTTAGGATAACTGTGGGGGTGTGGGTTTAGTAAGAAGTATTGGAAATTCGTACTACTGTGTACTAAATTTAGTACATTTACATTTGAATTTGGAATCATTATGGGGGTGTAGGATCGGGGTATGCAGGAAGTTTTATTGGAAGTAGAAGGGTACGAAAAGTACTAAAATGTACCAAATATGGTACCCTTTTTATTAGCGAACGGGAAGAGCTAGAATTCTGAAATTTGGAATGTTGGTCACTGATGGAAAGTTAGAAAGATGTGCAAAAGGGTTTTTGGAAATTCGACCTATAAGTGTACTAAAGGTACTAAACTTTACTGAATTTATTTCCTATTGTATATATATTGAACATATATAGCTGGAATCTTGACATTTTAAATAGAAAACATGTTGGGAAGTGGTGTTGATGTACGGAAATGGTTTAAGACATTCGTACTTATATGTATAAAAAGTTCAAAATGGTACTAAATTTCGTACTATTTGCATTCAGTTGAGTGTGTAGTAATGGAATCCTGATGATCGGAATTAGCTTTAAAAAATCGTAATTATTTGTATGAAAAGTACTTAATTGGTACTAAATTTGGTGGAAGTTGGATTTAGGTGAACAGATAGAGCTGAAGTCTTCAAATTGGGAATTAAAATAACTGTTGGAGTGTACGACTGAGGTAGATTATGAAATTCGTACTTTTTGGTACGAAAGGTATATATGGTACTAAATTTAGTACAATTTGGATGTTGCTTGAAAGGATAGAACTGAAACCCTGAAATTTGGAATTAAGATTTCTGTTGAAGATTGAGCTATAGAGACATCTTTGGAAACTCGTATTTATGTGTACGAAAAGTACTAAACGGCACTAGATGGATTTGGTTGAACGGAGAGAGCTGGAAACCAATAATTTGGACTAATGGTTGATGTTTGAATATAGAATTGAGATATGGATATGGTATGGATACTAAATAGTACTATATTTGGTACAACTTGATTACATGTGAACGGATAGAGCTGGACTCCCGAATTACTGTTGGAGTGTAGGATTGACATAGTTTAGGAAATGTTTAATTATAGAAACAAAAAGTACTAAACGGTACCGAAAACTTAGAAATGTGTGAACGAATAGGGCTGTATTCTGAAATTTTGAATTAATATTACAGTTTGAGTGCAGAATTGAGATATGTCGATAATTTTTTAAAATTCGTCATTATGGTAAATGGTAAAAAAATTTGGTACAATTTTGATTCGAGTTAACGGATAGAGATAGTAAACGTAAATTTGGAATTAAAATTACAAGATTAAGGAAGTATTGGAATTTCGTACTTATGGATACGAGAAGACCTAATTGGTACTAAATATGGTACAATTCGTTTTGTGCGAGCGGGAATCCTAATATTTGGACTTAAAAATAAGGTTGGAGTGTAGGATGAGGTAGTTTTAAAAATACGTAAATATCTGTACTAAATGGTGCTAAGTTAATACAATTTAGATTGGAGTGAAAGGATAGAGATGGATGGATTTGAAAATAAAATTACTCTTATAGCAAAGGATTGAGACAGTGTTGGAAATTCGAACTCATGAGTACGAAAAGTACTAAATATGGTACAATTTGGATCTATGTGAAAAGATATTGCTGTTATCCTGAAATTAATGAATAAAATTACTGTTTCAGTGGGAAATTGAGACAGTTTTAGAAACTCATACTTACGTCTACGAAAAGTAATAAATGATACAATTTGGATGTTGGTGAACGAATAGAGCTGGAATCTTTAAATGTAGACCTAAGGTTGTTATTGAAGTGCATGACTGAGGTATTTTTGGAAATTTGTACTTTAGGTACGACAACCAAAAAAATTGGTACAATTTGGACTTCGGTGAACGGGTAGAACTCGAATCCTGAATGTTGCAACTTAGGTTACTCTGGGAGTGTATGAAAAGTACAGAATGGTACCAAATATGGTACAGTTTAGTGAGCAGACAGAGCTGAAATTCTTAAATTTGGACTTACGATTGAAAGCAGGTTTGGAATATTGAGATTGGTTTGGTATATGGGTACGAAAAGTGCGGAATGGTTTCACACAGAGGTGAAATTCTTAAATTTGGACTATTTGAAAGAAGGATTGAGGTACATTTGGAAATTTGTACTTATGAGTACGAAAATCACTAAATTTGGAACAATTTGGACTATGGTGGAAGAAAATTCACTAAATTTGGAATATTTTGAATTTGGGTAACGGAGAGAGCTGGAAAACTAAAATTTAGAATGTTGGTCATTGACAGAGAGTTAGAAAGAAGGACCAAAGGGTTTTTGGTACTAAATTTAGTGGAGGTGACGGTATAGAGGTAGTCTTGAAAATGTATAATTATGTGTTCGAAAAGTTCTAAATGAAATTACATGTGGAACCTGTACGTTTTTGCTAAAGTGTGGATTTCGGAAAATAGTGCTTATGTGTATGAAGAGTACTTAATGGTAATAAACTTGATATTAAATGTACGAATAGAGGTGGAATTCAGAACTATAGTACAACGATTTCCATATGAAATATTTTATTATTCCTGTTCCGCATACGAAGTAGCGGGTACTTTGCTAGTTATATATATGTTAATATACGACAGAGATATGCCCTTTTACCTATACTTATTAATCGAATCAAATTTTCTATGATTTAATCTAAACAACATTGATGAACTATTTACCGTTCAAAGAAGAATTTTCAACATTTAATTAAAGGTACAAATATTAAAACAATATAATATTCCAGAGTACTTAAATTAAAAGCTTCAGAACAATTGAGACCAATTGATTATTAACCCTTAAAAAGCTAAACTTTACTAGATGTAGTGGTCATTACTAACTGATCCCGTGTTTCTGTACTTTTAATGAATATATAACGAATAATGTCAAGCAAACTTCTTTTCGTTTAAAAAATATAAACGAATATTTTTTTTTAATTCTAAGGGTTAATAAATTAGTAAGTGTAATAGTATTAGTTGTATCCTATAAAAAGAAATTGTAAAATTTTGCAAAACTTACCAATGAAATGAAATCAAACTGGTTATTTATGCCTTTGAGGTCTTGTGCCTCAGCATCACCAGTTCGGTTACTCGAAGTCGGACAAAATGTAGACGAATAGTTGTAGTTGTATTCACCAAAACTAATGCCTTTATCGTAGTTGCCAATTTTCGTTTCAATTAATTTTCCCAGAAAAATAGCTTTGGAATTGTATTTTGCTGTTAGCCAGGCAATATTTTCAAAGTTTTCTTCTCCTTCCTCAGTTGTCGCCATCGTTGCTTTGGTCTCCCTCTGCGGTTGATGTGGTGGCGTTGTCTGTACATTGTAATATTGTTGTTGATGTTTTTGTGGTTCACTTGCCAAGGAATGGGTCGTAGTGGTTGCTGTCGAAGACCTCAAAACATTTTTATATTTCTTGTAGAATGGTGTATTCTCCAATAGTAGAACGCCTGCCGAACTAACAACATCGAGCAGTGAGCAAATAATTGTATTTAGTTCACACTTTGTCAGTGGTGTCGAGGCTACTTCATCAGTATCCATTGCACTTCCTGAACCACCAACAACACCAGCACCACCACCAGCAGCTACACTGGAGGGTGCCTTTGCTAATGTCGTTGCCGCCTGCTGGTTCAGAGCACTCCAGATGAATTTTTGATGCAACAGTGTATCGATGCAGCGTAACCCTATGGTTAGGGAGTTCCTTTGTTCCTGATTGTTTAGCAGCAGAGGCCTATTGTTGCACAAGGCCACAACACGTTGACAACAGTAACCGATAAAGCGCACCAGGACGTTTACATGTTCCGGTCGCAACAAGTGTTCGCTTAAGAATTTATCAATGAATTTCGATTCGATGTAAATTAGGGCCGTCACCTCAATTTGTTTAATGTTTTCCATTAATGCGATTACAGCTTCACACAAATGTATGGGCAACGACAACGATAACGATGCCTTGCGACAATAACTACGACCATCAACATTGGTGGTGGAACCAGTGGCGGTGCTGGTGTTGGTAACTGTTGCTTTATTGTCAGTTCTGCCATTTTCTCCACCAATCGTTGCCTCAACGATACGTGTCATAAGCTGGGCGAGTGAAACTCGCGCTAATGGATTCGGTCGCATGTAGTGAATGTGCGGATTATATTGTATGCAATTATTGCGAAATGTTTGCAACATCGCCTGCAGTGCATGGGAAATTGTGTGCTTTAAAATACGCTCCGCATCAAAGTTGGCCGTGTTGAATATCTTTTGTAGCTTATTTTCCGATTGTATCTCCAAAAGGATTTTCACTATTTGCCCAGGATCATAGTTGTTTTGTGTCGAGAATTTAATTAACTGTAATGGTAGATAGAAGAACAAAACAAAAAACAGCAACAACAATATTATGAGAAATTGTATGTAAGCAAGCGTATCTGCAAATGACATTGCTAATGATAACAAGAACAACAATAACAATTCAAATAAATAGTAACACTAACAGAAAAAAACAAGTCGCATATAGCATCGAACTCCCATTTCCTTATATTCAGTGTCGTGCGACAAAGACCTTGGTACCATATATGGCCAACGAGTTTTTCTTTTGTTTATGGAAAATATCTCGAGGGGTATAGGACAATACACAGCGAGTGTCATGAAGAGAAGTGGATGGTGAAATTATATAAAGTTAGACTACGACGAATATTATATGCCCTGTCTTTCCTTTTCATTAAGCTCGACTCGAAAGAAAAAAACTGAGTTGAAATATTCTTTATTAGGAGTGTAGCTCTGACAATATTTGCAAAAATGTATAAAATATCGACTCGAAAGAAAAAAACTGAGTTGAAATATTCTTTATTAGGAGTGTAGCTCTGACAATCTTTGCAAAAATGTATAAAATATCCCCTATTTACGCTCTCTTAAACGATACTCTATAAAATCTGTCTTGGAAAAATATTGACATCAGAAAATCCCATATCCCGCCAGTAAAAATCGATAAATCCATTAATTTTGGCCAGTTACCTTATTATTTAAATATTCATAATTACTGTCCCATGAATTATTTAAAAATAAGTAAATTAAAATAATTGAATCGATTTTGAATTATAGACTTTCGTTGTAATACCTCTATACGTTTAAACTGTAGCGTAACCACTGTAAACCGATGGAAAGGCACAGACATTATACCATTGCCATGTGGGACACAGAAAATGCAATGGCAATGTGAAAAACATGTGCATGCATATCAAATGGATGATTATTCGATTGAGAACAAATTGCACATACTGAGGAGGAACGCCATTTCCTCCATTGTCTGCGAATGTTACGTATGAAGGATATTAATTCCAATATTAATTTCACAGCATGTATACGCACATGAGGTTGGTATATACATAGATATACTATGTAAGTATGTATATAAGATGATTCACATAATTTACAGTTCGGAACAAAAATTATGTGGAATATATAAATTTGAAAGTCCATTGTTAATTGGGCAAGGTCAAATCACATAATAATTAGTAATAATTTTCGCTTAGTCCTGATTGCTAAATTTAACACAATACCTCTTTTTCCCCATCCACTTCAAAGAGAGAGAGAGATAGGGAAAACAAGAATTATTGCCACAATGGGTATTACTATTTTACTCACCTGATTAAATATCCATTTCTCGTCAACAATATTGGAAGCACTTCCCAGCGGAGGAGTGCCATCATCATCGTTTAGCTCACAAGAATTTTCCAAATCATTTAAGCTGTAACACAAAAGAGAGACACGAACATTAAATGAAAAATCAAATAAATTGAACAAAAGAGAATAGGAAGAAAAGTAATCCCTCCACACCCCACAATACGTCTCATTCCGGCCATCATCATTTCAAGGAAATATACAATTCTAAAATTGAAATTATAATAAAAAAAAATGAGAGAAAGAAAGATTCACTTGAACAAACATAAAAAGGTTTCGAATCCATCCATCGAACTATCTATCGAACCTAACACAAAGTCAAATATAAGTATGCGTTCTTATAATAGCGCTCAATAAATAGTCGAATACAAACAGACACCGACAGACACACTGAGGCAGAAAAACGGACACTTAAATACAATATAAATATATGTAACTACAACTAAGTGCTAAGCTTTGAATACAGTGTGCAGCAGAGGTAAATGTATACGGTATTTTTATTCGACAATATTTGGATTGAGAGTTATGAATAGACAATTAAAATTGAAATTATAATAGATTCTATGCGGAGTCATAAAGGTATAATTAACCTATTTTCTTGAATAAGAGCATATGCATAAATACAAATATAAACATACATATTTAAATATCTGTATATATATTAAATATTAATAATAAAATATATACTCATATTAAATTTAAAAATGTAAAAATCATTATAAAAACACATTTTGTATTAAATAATAAATTACTTTACTCCACAATTGTTTCCCTGAATACTGTATTCACAAAAAAATATTTGTAGCTAACATAGAAATGGAATCAAAGTGTAATTGACTTACATCATAAATTGCAAATGTTCACTTGAGTTGAAGTGGTAGGATGACAACGATGCTGTTTCATCTACTGCCGCTCTTGTTGTTGCCCCTGATGATGATGCGGCAATTCCTTCCTTTGAGGTAGTCAACAATTGTTGCTGTTCTTCGTCTTCTTCGATTAAATGGACAAATGTATCGTAAATAGCATTTTTATCGTAAGTATCGGACGAATTAACGATCAAATGTCGAGCTAAACGCTCAATTTGCAATTGAAGTGGCCGTTTGTCAAACAAAGTTGAAGACGGCAACGTAGCAGACAAAGATGATGCGGACGATGATGATGATGTAGTTATTGTTGTAACAAAACTGTGTAGTTCATTCAAAATTTGCAAACATTTTGCAAAACGTAGTATGGAACATTCTTCAGGTTTCTTGCATAGATTTTCCACCACGCGCAGCAGAGAAATAATTGAATGCTAAGATGTGAAAAGAAAAAAAGTGAAAATAAATAAATAATTATTTTAAAATTATAAGTAAATTATGGGATAACACACAGGCTAATCGGACGGTATATGAAGTGATTTATATTTAATACTCTGTAAATTAGAGTAAATTCGTACGTAATTTAAGGTATATAAATTATAAAATTTTAATTGTTAAAATTATTTCACTATTAAATGTGTCCAAAAACACCACAATATATTCTATAATACGTCGTTAAGATCGTTCATTAGGAAATACTAATACCCACCAACATGAGGTGGTCACTTAAAATGTCTAAAATCGTTGGAGACCATTATATTGATACTATGTCAAAACATGGATCTATATTGTGAGGTGTTTTTTTATTCTTTGAGAAAACGAAATATCAAATTATATACACATAGGTTGGACAATTCAACTAGAACATTCCCAAAGTGAGTGAGACCATTATATAGGGGTAAATTACCTACATTACAATTTGTATACCAAGAATGTTTTTTACCCGAACTACTTAATTTGGAATACCATCGGCCGGAAATTACCTTAGGACTATTAAAGTGCGACAGTTTCCTTATCTAGAGGCAATATCAAAGCATTCACCTATATTTAAAACTGTAAAACTGTAGTATTCGGATATGGCCACGAAAATACTTTGAACAATACTGGACCTGTATATGGGGGATATGTTCAAAATATGAGTCTTTATTAAAAATAATCTGTAAAACGCTCGGTTATATCCGATTTTCAATATCAAGAATACTAGGAGCAATAGTAATATGTACGTCTACAATGTCAAAGTTCTACCTTAATTCTGCAAACTAATTACCCAATGTAATTTTTTCTTATAAATTGATATTTTATCACACAAAAATAAATCCACCCTTTTTTCAATTTAGCAATGACCAAATATCAATGTCAATAAAGAGAATAACATTATCATTACCATAGCATTACAGTAAGTAAAATACATAAATACAAATGCCATTGCAAATCAAAAACACAAACATGCACACACCTACAATTCTATACTTACCTTATTGAGTACTCCAATGTTCGTTAGAATCGTTGACTGGAACAGCGAACAAAACTCTTCGTCCACTTCACATAAATTGCAGACGAATGCAAATTGTTCAACAATTAAAATATTCAGAAAATTACCATTGAACAACTGCTGCACTTGTTGCAGGTTCCATTCCATCATTGCATGCGGCTAAATGTTATGGAAGCGAGAATAAAGAAAACGATGATGATGAAAAATAAAGAAGAACAAGACCAGGTACATTAAATGAGTTTTTAAGTTCATATTGAAACTAATTAATGAAGGGAAACAGAAGGGAAACAAAAACGTATATAACTCCAGATATAAACATAAATCTCATCCAGGTGAAGGTAGTTTTATTTAAAGTACATCCAAATCGTTAAACTACACTTGATTTTCATGATGCTGCCACTGCCATCGCTGCTGTCCTGTCTATAATGTTCTTGGGATGGGATTTACTAGATTGATTTCAAATCATTTAATGCACTTTTAAATAAAGCACAACTCATTAGTGTTCTAAAGGATGGTGAGTCCTGCTATACAATAAAAAAAAAACCAGCAATACCAGGTCTATGCTGCTGGGTATTTTTAGACACACTTCGTTGTGGAGTTTAAGGTATTGCAATGCATCGCACCGTATCATTAATTTATGTCTGTTTGATTTGTTGGTAATAAAGTTGTATAAGCAATTAAGGTCAATATCCATGTTCAAATGAAATTGAAGACGAAATTTAAACAACTTTAATAATTAAAAATACGAAAAAAATGGATATTGTGTATGGAAATGCACTTGTGTATGGAAATGCACTTATTAATATATTTCTTCCAGAAATATAGATTCAATATTTAATATATCAATTATAGATTCAATATATTTATCAATTATTATGAACTTGAAAATATTGTTTCAATCTCAATAAAAATTGTTGTTAAAAATACAGGCTTTCAAAAACAATCTAAATTAGGATTCACGTAATCAAACCCACTCCATCTCTATGTAACTTACATAAATGGAAATATTCTAATAATGTAGTACAATATACAATGAACAAAAAACAATAATATACTTACCACACTTTGTTGACAAATTTTATTTAGCAAAGCACGTCGAATATGATGTGAAATGTCATTGGATTGCAGACGTTGCAACAAGGCCAATGTATCCAAAACACCAACGGATTTTAACAACTCAAACAATTCCAATTGTAGCTGCAACATAACATTATCAATGTTGGCTGTGGCATCGTACGATGCTAATGATAAAGAGGAAGCCACACCACCACCTCCAACGCCACCGCCACTAGCCGAAATTCCTGTAGAACTTCCCATCGTTGCTGTCGACAAAGAAGAGCCCGAAAGTTGGGCACAACACGTCGCATTGGGCGGACAGCCTTGTGTCGAGTACATCATCAACAAATTATGGTATTCATTTAACAATCTCGATTCACAGCCATTTAGAATGGAACGCATGGAAACAAGTAGAAAATCATCGGAACGTGTGTTCGAACAAAGTTTGTTCAAAACTTTAACAAAATTACCAACTAGTCGACAGTATTGGCTGCTAAACTGATGGCTGTACGAATTTGAGTTGCGTCGTTGCTCGGCCAGTGTTTGAAGACATTCGAATAGGACGTCACATAGCACTGTTGGCAAGTAGTTGTACTCGTTTAGGCCACTTGAATTATACGCTGACGAGGATCCTGCTGATGATGATGGTGAATTGCTGGCGGAGAAGGCAGCGGCTGCCGCTCTGGCTGCTGATGATGTTGAGGGTTTATCATGGCCACCATCCGGCAGCCACTGCTGCTGAGAGCCGACACTGGCGGTGTTAGCGGTTTGCTGGCGTTGCTGTTGCTTTCGCTTCAACTTTTCCACTGCAGTTGGGTGATTTTTCAAATAGAGCTTTATGTGATTTACTAAATAAATTTCCTCGGTTTTGAGGATTACATTCGACAGGATAATCGTTGCATACGATAAATCACTAAAGTTTGTAACATCCTTTTTTGGTTCACATTTGTTATTGGTGTTGTAGTAGTTGTTGTGTTTTATTCATGTTAAGCAAATAACAGATACGGTGTTATCGCATGTTGTTGTTGTTTTTATTTTATTTAGAATAGAGCATCAATGTGTACATGTATGTGTTTGTGTGTATAACGTTCCTCGCCATAGCCCATGGCATCGGTAGTAGTACACCAATATTGTTTTGTTTAGCATTGCAGGACCATCAACAACACCACCAGGAGTAGAGGGTGTTTTGTATGCGACAGGAATTGTTAGCGTAGTTGTTGTTGCAGTTGTTTATTGTTGCATTTGCAGTTGATGTTGGCAAAATAAGGCATTACAACAACAACGACAGCAGCATTGTCGTTGTCAACCATTCACAGACACATAAACACCACAATGCATATTCAAGAGACCGGCCATCAAGGCAGCAACCAACCAAGCAGGCAGGAAGTAGACCGCAGGCAGGCAGTATTCCAAAAAAAAAAAGTTGTTCAAAGTTGAGGTGCCACCATTAAACATGATGGGAGGAGACACAACAAAACGACCGACCGACAGACCATCATGATGCAACATGAAATAAACAAAATGCAATGGAATACAAAATATTAATGGGAAAACATAAAAAGTTTGATCGTTAGAAAGAGTTAAAAAGTCCATAACTTTTTCTGTGTAAAATTTTTCGTAACGTTCGTTTGTTGTTTCTGTATCACAAGGTACGTAATAAATGTCCTCGTGTGTATGTACAAGGTGATGTGATGAGACCAATGTATATTTGCCTTGATTTTTTGTTTTGTGTACATTTTCACCATTGTTAGTCATCATGATAAAAGTGTGAAATATGTTTACATTTGTAATTATTTCAAAGTTAAATATAGTTGTCTGTATATATGTATATGCACACATGCATATCTACACATATGTATGAGTTTAGTCTAATATTTATGAGTCGAATTTGAATTGGAAATATAAACTAAATTCTAAACTATTTCGGCAAAACGTTTAAGTAATTTATAAAAAAACTAAAAACTTATTAAATAAATGAAGAGGCACAGTCAGAACATATTGTTCGTTTATTCAAAGAGTGTTATAACTTAAAAAAGTATATTTATTGGAGTTGAGAACTTATATAATAAAAACTCAATGTGTGACCATTTACATGAAGAGTGACAAAATTCATAAAAATCAAATATTGTGTTGGGGTTTAATATTTTCGATTATACATATATAGCTATTGTATATACATGTATCCCAATTATTTTCTTGCATTTTAATGCTATGTGTGTACGTCTTAATATTCACAATAGTTTCCAAAATTTTCTATAAATACTGTTTGTAACAATGCACTCCAATTATCTAAGTTTTTGTCATTGTAAGACCTTTCGAATGTCAATTTGTTTAGACTTATATATGATTTATATAAATAACTATGAACAGTACATAACAACAATTTTAAATATGTACATTCATAATATGAACTTACCGCCTCAATGATGTATTTCAATAATGCCATAAATTCTCTGCTATTACCCAGCAGATATTTGCTATTGTTTTTAAAGAATGTATCCAGCAGGCGGTATGTGTGCCAGTCTTGTATGCACAAACGATTTGTATATATTGATTGGCATATCATATTACACACTGTATCGAGATTTGGCAAACATTTTGTTGTCTTTTGTTCATGATGCTGCTGCCGGGCATTGCCTCCACCACCACCATCTACTTCAATATTGTCATACGATGACTGTTTTTGTTCTTTTGTTGTCATGATATTGGCATCTTCATTGGACATTGTAAGCTGTTGCAATTGCTCAATTAGCAATAGTAAGCAGAAAAGTTGTTGGCAATCTGAAGATTCGATGAATTTCTCCAACATTCCCAAAATTACTTCTTTCTGTGTGTCAAGTTCATCGTTGAGTGTTAGGAGATTTTCGGTAATGGTAGCCAATGAATTGGGGCCATCGACGACAGTACCCTGACGCAATAAACCACCATCACTATCAGAACGGCCGGCCAGCACATGTTCGGGTAAAGTCATTAAGAATATTTCATAGCTTAGGGTTTTCAAAGCCCTCACAGCCACATCACGTATGCTATAGTTGGCCAATAAATTGTTGGTAATGCTGATTATTTTTGGTATTGTTATAAGATTGCGTTCATTCTTTGCGGATAGTTTAATCAAGAAACGTATCATTGGTGTAATAATAAATAAACCATTGCTGAAAAACAATTGAAAAGAAAAAAATAAAGGGTGTATTCAATTGTATTTTGTTTATATTTGGATTGTTTGGAAACTTACCGTGCTATACCACCCTCAATGATATCTAAACTCTTGAGTATTTGTTCAAATATTACATTCTTGGAATCCAGACTACTATAGGTAACATTGAAATCCAATAATAAAATCAACATATCTAAAATGGAAGCTTGGACGCGTCCATTACACTTTAGGAATAGCTGTGGAGAGAAATGGTATATTATAAGAAAAGTGATTATATTTATTACTTTTAAACTAAAAACAATGTAAATCATACCTAAAAAAATATTTCAATTTTAAATGGGAAATATGATACACGTTGTATTTTTGTTAATTTTGTTGTTCCATATATATAGAACTATTTACATACTTCTAAATATAAAAAAGTTCCTTCCATTCTAGGTGTAATATTTTGCCCTAAATTTATTAAAATCCTATTAACTTAAATTATTCCCATATATATGAACTCCCATATTAAATTCACCAAGAAGAAGAAAACTATTCACTTACCGTTAAACAGTAGATAACCAATGGTTCAAATAGCTTAATATGCCTAGCCAGTTCTGTTTCATGTGGTGACTTCCAAGCATGATATTTCAGACCACTTGCAAATAACTCGGATAACAATAGATAATCGTCTTGTGGACTAACTGTAGAAGAATAGCCACTGCCAGCAGTACTGCTGTTGCCGAACACATTCACATTGCCGGAAAGTCCCTTTATGGATTGTAATTGTATTGTTGTTGATGGTTTTTGTGTAACATTTGCTGGGTAGGAGGATGTTGATGTTTGATTGTTTTGCATTGTTGGACAAACACCACCATCATCATCATGGTCTTGATTGCTGGTGTTGTTGCTGCCGAGACAACAATGTTGCTCTTTACATTTGGCCTTAAAATACGATTTTATAAATGCCGGATAATGGCCTTGTTTCATTTGATGTTTGTAAGGTTGTTGCTGTTGGTACTGCCTGTTGCCATAATTTCTGGCAAACAAATATTTCAACAGTTGTCGCAGACATCCAATGCTCTCTTCGGGTGCATAATTTATGACTTTGGTCAAGTACTGAAGAGTTTCTTCAATTAATTTCAATACTGGAACAGAGTCTAAGCTCTGAGTGCTGCCAGTCTGTCCCAAAACTGTCGTCGAAGACGACAACAACGGCGATGTAAAGGATGTTGTTGATGTAGTCGTCGTTGCATCCATTGCATTTTTGGCAATTCCTAAACCAGCTCCTCCTCCTCCGGCGCTGTTTATCGTTGTTGTTGATGATGCTGCTGACAAAGTTGCCTCATGCGGCAGCATTTCAATGCAAGAACTCAATGAGTTTAGACTTGTTTTCAAAAGGGAAATTAATTTGCTGCCAGCTTCCTCATTAATGGTAATCTTGATAAATTTGCAAAGACAGAGAAAGAGAGAGAATAAAACCAATTTTTAGAAATATAAAAAGAAAATAAATTGAATTCAAAATAAATTTGCCGAGACAAAAAACACATAAACAAAGAAAAACCCAACCAAAGGACAATGAACGCCATTATCATCATTACATCAACAATGACCTCCTTCTTCTGGGCTGGAAGTTCCGATTTTTGTTGGCTGTTGTTTAATTTCGACTTACCTTATAATTATCATAGGCACTTTTCAAAGTTTGATAGAGTTTCAGATAAATAGATTCGTTGCCAAAATAGCCCAAACTCTGAGCAATGGTCAATTCTTTGGCATTACCAAATATTTCGACTTTTTGGCTTTTGGCCATAATTAATGGTTTTTGATTGGTAAATATGTGATAGTAAATATTTATAATTTTCATTGTGTGTTTAAGCAGGCTTATTATGTGATCTCGTGGTATAGGCTGTTCGAAGACATTAGCATAATATATGGAAGAACCTAGAAAAATAAACAAGACAAAGTAAATGATTCGGAAACAAAAAATATTAAGAAGTAATAAATGGTCAATTAGTTTTGCGGTAGTGATTGATAAAAATGAAATAGGGGAAATAAATGCGATTATATTTATACTATTGAACTTAATCTTTATATTTCCATGTATATTTAAAATAAAGTTGCAAACAAATCTTTAATATATAGATTACCGAAGAGAAACCCTATAAATTAGAAATCGATGTTATTTATAACTAATTTTGGAAATATTTAATCAAAAATTTATTTCTTAGTATAAATAAGCAAAAAAAGTCCGAAATGAACAAACTACCTTATTTAATTAATGTTATTACTTTTAAAATGCATTTGTTTGTGTATGCTTCAAAAATATGTTCCAAATATAATATTTTTACTAAATCTTTTGCCAACTATGTTTAGTGATGTTGCATCGTTTAGTAACTTTACAAACATTCATATTCTGTTAAACTTTTGTAGCATTTTTTTTTCTCACTACACACACAACATAAACGAAGGCACTCTCACAATTGCACTACTCTACAGAGGAGAGAAAAAACACATTATAAAAAATCTAGATAACATATATGTACATGTATGTGCATACGTTGGTTGCTGTTCGTTAAACAGTTAAGAAAACCACTTGTTCATAATGACATAGTTAACTAACTAAAAACCATTTGCCATTAACAAAACTCTAAACCATCAACACTACAACGAAGTTTATCCTTGCGATTATTTAAATTTCTCCAAACACACACACACACCGACACACATACAGATAGAGGTTGGTTGTTACAATGTCTTGCATCAGCAAACCCACATACACATATACATATAGAAGTAGCTACACTACAGTCCTATACTGACAGTCATAATACCAAAGTTAAGTAAACGACAACGATTTCTGAGTAGATTGCACAAAACATAAATGAAGAAGCGACGAAGGTTTAATGTATATGCGATACAGTGCATCGGGCAGGAATGTTTGATAATTTAGTTGTGGTAAGTTCTGACGGGTAACATTTTTATACTATTAGACATGACCCTCATTTCAAAAGATGGGCATACCCTGGACATTTTCTACTCATATAATTTGTATCCCACTTACATATAATTAATATGGCTAAAACCTTTAACATACGGAAAATGGTTTGGGAACTTTATATGGGATTATGCTAAAAATAACATACACTGACAATTTTTATCAAATATGTTTTTAACCAAGAGCCCCGAATGTAAAACTACAGTTATTTCGGTTAAAAATTAAGCTAAGATCTTCAGAAAACAACAAATGTATCGTGGGACTATATTCGTGGGGCGAGACGCGAATTTGATTTCGGAGAGGGAGGTTCACCTCATCAAGGGTAAAATGAGATATGTGAGGAAATTCGAGAGAATTTATCCTCACTCTCTCCATCGCGAAATCGAGCTGGACAAGATCTCCCTCCCGAATCTCACTGCTCGCACAGAAGTAGTAGAATCGGCGAAGCCCACTGTCTCTGACAATGGTGCTAAGCCGACTTCTGACCTGAAGCCCAGTTCCAAGCCGAACCCGTGTAAGAATGCACAGGAAAAGGTAACTGAGAGTATCTCAAAACAGAATGTCACCCATAAGGGTGATCAACCTGCAGAGGGCTCTGTCTCAAAGCCCGATTCTGCGCCTAACGACAAGGGGGAGGCAAAAGCTCTGGGTGGTGGAAGTGGTGGAAGCAGGAAGAAGGGCAAGTCAGCAAAGGAACCATTGTCTCCTGGGAGAGCAGATGTCGCCCCAAAGAATAAATCTGTGAAGCGTATCCGCTCTTCAGAAGGTCCGCAACCCTCACCCAAGAAGACGATGACTTCTCGTCTGGTAGATCCTTCTACCTCTTATGCGGCTTGCGTTGGACAACAAACTGCGGAGAAACGACCAAGTACGGAGAAGGCTTCAACCTCCTCTGGAAAGGCGACCTCCAAGGCTCGTAGTCAACGACAGCGTAAGCCGTATGATAGCAATCATAGACAAAGCTGATCCTCAGGGTAATATCAGTGAGAGTCATTGGCTGGGCTGCGCATAATGCAGATCAATCTACATCATTGCAAGGCCGCCGCCGCCGAACTACTCCTGTCCCTCACGAACTCGGAAGTGGACATTGCCTTAGTACAGGAGCCATATATTTATAAAAATATGGTTTCTAGACTAAAGAATGCCCAACTTTGATGGGGGACAAGGTGAGAACATGTATAGTAGGTAAGAAGAGCTTAAATTTAATCTTTCTATCTAATTACAGCAATGGTGACATGTGCACTGTGAGGCTGGAGCACACGACGGGGAAGGCCACCCTGCTCTCCTCAATCTATATGCCCTTTGAGGAGATGGATCCACCAGGCACATGTGTACGGAAGATGCTCGATGAAATGACAAGCACCTGCAACGTTATCTTGGGATGCGACGCAAATGCTCACAATTTTCACAAACGCTGCTAGGTTTCGAAAACTACTATCCAAGGACCCGAAGTCCATCGGTAGTATTAAGAAGCAGGATGGAGCGTGGACGGACTCAGGTTCTGAGACTCTAAATCTCCTAGCCGAGACTCATTTTCCGGGTCGTGATGACACTCGGCCTTCTGCCACTCCGGATCTGGATCTCATTAACAGGGTGGTTAACAGAAATAAGATACGATGGGCGGTCAACACATTCAAGACGTATAAATCGCCAGGACCGGATGGAATTCTACCGGCGATGCTTCAATTTGCCTCGCCAAGTATTTATCCGATTCTTGAGATGATTTATACTGCGTGTCTGACTCTCTCGTGTGTTTCGGATCTATGGAACGAGGTAAAAGTCACTTACATTCCCAAAGCAGGGAAACCAAGCCACTCTGCACCAAAAGACTATAGACCCATTAGCCTATCATCCTTTCTCCTCAAGACTCTCGAACAACTGATCGAGCTGGAGATAAGGAGTCGTATAGACACCACCTCTCTCAGCAACTCACAACACGCATACATAAAAGGCAAGTCTGTGGAATCTGCACTGCACGAAGTGGTAGACTATATTGAGAGGAACATGGAAAATTCAAATTTTACGCTGGCCGCCTTCTTAGATATAGAGGGAGCCTTTAACAACGTTAAACTTGAATTCATAAACCACTCACTTAGGGAAGTTGGCATTCCTGATACCCTGACATATTGGACAGATAAAATGCTTAACAGCAGAATTATAAATTCAAGTGTGGGGGATACAAAAATCAGGAAAACGGTAACTATAGGCACACCTCAAGGAGGGGTGCTTTCGCCGTTACTATGGCTACTGGTAATTAATATTATATTGAGGGAATTGGACGGGAAAGGTATCAAAGTTGTAGCTTACGCGGACGACGTGGTGATATTGATCTCCGGAAAATTTCCGTCTACAATCTCTGAGCTTATGCAAAGAGCCTTACTGACGCTGTCACGCTGGGCCAGGGCAAATGGTCTTGGTGTAAATCCAACGAAGACGGAAATGGTAATGTTTACTAGGAAGCGTAAGTCGGCGTCTTTGTTCCACCAACATTGGATGGAGTGCAACTTCACCTATCTCCCGAAGCAAAGTACCTCGGCACAATCCTGGACTGTCAACTACGATGGAAAAGGAACGTTGAGGAGCGGGCGAAGAGAGGAATGATTGCACTCTATTCATGCAAGAACTCCATTGGGAAAACCATCGACTATACACTGGTTGTATAACACTGTGGTGAAGCCCATCTTGTCCTATGGCTCTCTTGTTTGGTGGAACTGTCTGAGCCTCAAGTCGACATCTAGTAAATTAGACAAGGTACAAAGAGCCGCTTAGTTACAGGAGCCAGAAGGAGTACGCCACAAGCAGCTCTGAACGCAATGCTGTACTTCAAGCCTCTGGGCCTTAGCATTAAGTGTCAGGCTGCGCGTAGCGCCCTAAGGCTGCATGAACAAAAATTCTGGCGGAACTGTACCTTTGGGCATAGTAGTGTTCTTAATGAACCAGGTATAGCATTGGACAAACGCGCTAAACTAATCGATTATATATCACCAATCCTTAGATTTGACGATGTAGATGTCGTTATTCCTAGTAGAGACGACTGGAAACGAAGTAACGCTCCTCTGGACGGTCTGGCCTTCTATACAGACGGATCCAAGATGGAAGAAGGTACTGGGGCAGGCGTCTACTGTGAAAGGTTGGGCCTTGAGTTGACCTACAAGCTGGATAGTAACTGTAGTGTTTTCCAAGCTGAAATCTTCGCGATCTGTAAGGCAGCGGAATTGATAAAAAATCTGGATGCTGAAGTCGTTGAACCGGTGACTATATTTGTGGATAGTCAAGCGGCTCTTAAAGCCATCAAATCGTGTCACATCAAATCCGAAGCCGTCCTCAAGTGTAGAGCAGCTCTGGAAGAACTTAACCATAGCTATCGGTTGTGTTGGGTACCAGGACATTGTGACATCTTGGGTAATGAAAGAGCAGACGAACTAGCTAGACGAGGATCTCAATCCACCGATCTAGAAACTGATGACTCAATCAAACCACCCATATGTCTTTTCTATAGGAACTTTGAGGCATTCTTTGACGAAACAGCCTGCGAACTTTGGCACAACGAACCTAGGTGCAACGTGTCAAGATCAATTTGGCCGACTCTGTCTACCAAAAGAACGCACTCACTATTGAACCTGAGCAAAGCTGAAATTAGAGTAATGACGGGAATCATCACTGGTCACTGAAACATCAGGGCTTTTACTAGTAAATGGGATCTTGATGCAACTGATTACTGTAGACTCTGTGTTGACGAGGAGGAGACGGAGACAATTGAGCATCTCCTGTGTCATTGCCCAGCCCTGGCTTACAAGCGAAACAGACTAATGGGTTCTCATTTTCTACCGAATCTCAGCTTCTTCTCAACAACAAAGACAGATCTGTCTTTGGTCTCTTCTCTTCGCTGTATCTCTTCTAGTGGATGATCACAACGGACCTAACCGGTCTCAGAGTGTTGTAGTCACACAAGTGACTGCACATCCCCAAACCTAACCTATTCAAACCATGACCTGTGGGTCGATTCACTATAAAATTTAAACAATTCTCAAATCGATAAAATATTATAACGACAAAATAAACAATATTTCAATTCTATAACAGTTTTTAACAACAATTGTTAAACATGTTAATAAACAACCCCAAAATATTCCAAGTTACTTTATCGACAAACATTTTTCAATATTGAACATGCCTTGTTTTGTTCTGAATGTATTTTATATATGTATTTTGTTTTCAAAATGTTCAAAATTAAAAGCTTTTTGAAAGTTTATCGACAATTTCTCTACATTTTTACAGAATAACATTTTCGTTACTGCAAACGATTTTATGTGTAGACAAAATTATCGATTATCGGATCGTTATAAGTTACTGAATCGACCCACTGGAATGCAAAATTACAGCAATTTCGCCTTTAAAATGGGAATCATCATAATACCTAGAATGGCGTTATGCCAAAACACAGATCAACTTTGAATATTTTCAGCCATGCTATTTTTACTCTCCCAGAAATGCTTCCTAAACTATCAATACCAACCATTATAAGAGCAATGTATAGGTAAACGGAATAACAAATCTAATAAACATACATATTATTTTCTGAAATGACTTCGACATAGGTCAGAATCTGGACGAAGATCTAGCCTCGTTTGCTGCATATTGGCCCAGAACAAATTTGGGTACAACTAGATTTATATTAGAAGTTTCCATACAAAAACTGACTGATATTTTACTAAAAAGTTCAAACCGACTAACTTAACGCTGGTAACGCTGGTAACGGACTTTTGAACTGGTAACGCCAGTTCAAAAGTCCCTGTTGAATTTAAATTTAATTTTCAATGTTAATCAATTTATTTACCTAGCCCAAAAGGGTCAACAACCAATATCTATCTAAATCACAAATGATTTTCAATGTTTAGCCACCATTCAATCACATCATACACACTGTGTTTCGGCAAATGAGTGTCGACTGTCTGTGGCAAAGTGATGGCAGAAAGCAGTTAACAGCCTTTTAGCATAAATGTTAACATATAATTTGCGAACACAGATTCAGATTTCTAATTCACATTTACTCAAGTGTGTGCGTTGGATTCATTCTAATGCCAGTAGCAGAGGCAAATGGCAAATGGATTTGGCAAGTGAGTGCGTGGGTAGTGTATTTACCCAACCACTATCCTCAACGGAATGAAGACTACTACTGGCCAGTTAAGAAATATTTCATTATAAATTCACTAAATCCGTTGCTCACATTCAGTCGTCTGTGCATCTTGGGTATTCATTTGCCAACTACAAATGCCTTACAAATGGACACAACTCAAGAGATTTCATCATTAAATGATTGTATATGGCCAGATATTACAAATTACATACAGAGAAACGCGTACACAAGATTATGAACGTCAGAATTTGAAAATAGCATTGTCATCATCATCACGTCGCCATATCATTCATTACTATGAACTATAAAGTAACTAACTAACGGTTATTCTTGTCAGTCGTGTATGACGAACAACTCGCTCGTAAGTGATAGACAAGGCTACTGCTTATGCTTCTTCGTATTCTTCTTCTACATCGGAGCATTGTTCAAGATGCACTTACCAACTATTAATTTACAGCTGACATCAATCAAATCACTCTGGCATGTCAAGTCCACAGCAGTATTGTAATTATATTGGGATAATTTAACGAAAATTTCCATGAAGCTAAACTCTGACCAAGCATCAGCATAATCGGCAAATGGAAATTGTCTCAGTAATTGTTTTATGGCGTAAATAATGCCAAACTGTAATGAAAAGACAAACAAATTAGATAGAATGAAAAAATGCAATTAGTTATTGAGACAATATTCAATTTCGTAGATTTAAACAATATGGTTTTATAAAGTTTGCTTTAGACATTTGATCTAATTGATACCCCATACTTATAGCTAAAGTGCGGAATGTATTGGAAACTAAATAAGGGGTTTTCATAGACAGTTCCGTAGAATGACATTATGCTTTGTTATTGATATAATTCAGATATATTATATACAAAGAAATCTATGTGGTTTGAGAACATACGAAATACGAAATAGCCAAACTTTAACATTAAACGTCTTAAACGCTATTAAGAGGAGATAACCAGTATTCTTGAAAACAAAGAGTGAGAATTCATTTGTTATATATCCTCTTTGAATCTACAACCTATGTTCCAAGAGCGAACTCTTCCAAAACAGAAGAATATAGTACCCCTCTCTGATAATCTTCAAAAGGTAAGTCTTTTAACAATTTTAACATCCTCATATCGCTATATTGGTTGAGGTTTAATATATATAATTATCAGTTCGATTAACTCCTTCCTTTTATATATATTTTTCCCATTAAAACTAACTTCTTAAAACTATCGACATTTATTTGACTTTAGTTATATAACTTACCTGAACATTTTTGTCTTTAAGTGACATCAACTTATTGCTGAGACGATATAAAACTTTGGACAACACCGTTTGTATGGCATCCTTGTTGGTTGCTATTGTACCACCAACATTACTATCCAACGGTGTTGATACATCATCATGATTACGCTGTTGGTACTCTGGATTGAATAAATAACGCACTGCGGGTGACATATCCTTAAAGATGCTGTACTCGAAGAAGCTTTGTAACATTCTCAGATTATCACAAAATGTGCGATGCAAAATATTTTCATCATCTTGACTAACAAAAGGAAAACGCTGTTGTTGTTGATCTTGGCCATGTGAATTAGAATGTTTGGCATTTTGGATAATAAAACGACACAAACATTTCGATGCACATTCTCTGACACGAACATCATCTTCAGCAATCAATTGTAAAAGTTCTTCAATAAATGAATTCTGTAAAGATGTCGGGATGAAGATATAGACAGACATATTAGAAGTTGTATTTGAGAGAAAATAATACGGAAATAAAAAGACATACGGGCAGGCATATGGAAAAACTATTCTAAAAATTCTATTCGGTCAGTCATTGATTTCGTTTCTTATTAAAAATACAATCGACTATTTACCCAGGGTTTTTTTCTTGCAATACTATTTCATTGCAGAGTTTCATGGAAAAAAGAGATAAAGAAAAAACTTAGTATTAAGTAAATCAAGTAAATATGTTTATCGGCATATCCTGATAGTTGGTTGCATAGCAAAAACCATTTACATTCATATGCAGAGAGAATGCATTATTGTACGCTGTTCATGAATAAAGTTTACATAGGAAATATTTACTTTTTCTTCAAAATAATACGAGTTTTTCACCCTGACCAAGTGATTTTTTTACAAATACCCTTTTATTTATGCTTCAAGGCACAAAACGCCAATAAAAGGATACAATTTTTCTGTATATTTACCAAAATAAATTTGCAATAAAAACATAAACTGAAGTAATAACGAGGTAAACTCTTAAAGTTTAGCAGCATTTCGTTACAACTATTTTGTCATGATAGATACCACGATTAAAAGTAAATTATATTAAAATAAAAAAATTGACAACTGTGAATACGAAAATAAAATTAAAGACCAAATGGTCAAAGCATTTATTTTATTTGTTTATCCTTCCCACGCCACTCCCACCCGCCCCTGCCAACCGAGGAGAACGTACACCCCAAAATCCGGATTATTTATTGTTATTATTCTTTACATAGAGAATTACGATTCATGGGTCCCAGGAAGCTTTAGGCTTGTCTGTGGAACCTATATTGAAGATCATTTTCTAAATCGGGAGAGATATGGTTCGAAATATTTATAACAACATCGTTTTTAACCAAATATCGATTAGATCAAATCACAGTTGTCAAATCTATTTAAATAGTTTGCCTATGATTTTATATTGATTTCGACTGTATTCTAAATATTTGAAACCGTAGTATAACTATTCTTTGCTAGGTGTGGTTGATTCCAGTTTAGAGATGTTAATGTTAAATAACTGCCAATTCATTTGGATATATTTTTTTTTAATTTTCAAATTTTTATTATTTTATCTTATCCCAGAAATACAACATTTCAAATCATTGGTGATATTGGCAAATGTTTCAAAATTTAAATTTCAGTATAATATCATATTCAAAAAAATCCTTAGAGCTCGAAAGCACCTAAAACAATGGGAAGTCGTTTGAACGGTATATGGAAGCTGTATATAAATGTTTACAGGCTAATTTTTTGAGGGTAATTCGTTTTTCGCTATAGATGATTCTAGCCCATTATTCTAAACATTATTTTTTATCACCGAATTTATTTCTCTTTGGGACCTCTTTTTAATTTAAATTTATAAAACTAATCTCCACAAATAATATAACTAATTTAAAAAGTAGAATGTAGTAGAATGTAGTAGAATGTACTACTTAAAAGTAGTAAATCCCTTTTTCATCCATCTGGATATTTGAAAATTCAAACAGTTTAATAGTTATTTGTGGAATTTTCTCTCTTCTTCTTTTATCAATTCAAATATTCCGAAAGGGAGAAATAAATAAAGGCAAACTAAACAAATACAACAGACACACACACTCAGAATATGTATATAAAAAATATAATAATAACAACACTAACCTCTAAGCTGCAGACAAAATCAGTGCCATCAACATCATCATCCTCCACCACCATCATGTTGGTTAACCCTATACTGCAACAGCAGCAGCCGCAACCCAATTGACAGCCGTCTGAAGATGTTGAACAACAGCCATTGCCTTTGATAAAGCAACATCTGCTGTTGTGGTTGTAGTTCTTGGTATAGTTATTTCCGTAATAAGAATGTAGTGAAGCATAATTTAAATTTGAAATAACTTCGGCATATTTATTTTGGACCAACCAATATTTGTTGTAGTAACACAGACGAAGTTTATTCAATAGCAATTTTGGTGATATGAAAAGTAAGTTGCTGCCACAACAATGACTTGCCGATGGAGATGTGGAGCAACAACAACATGTTGCCAATAATGATGCGGCGGAGCAACAATCGTAGGAAACGGATGCAGCAGCAGCAACACCACCATCGTTACTCATAATGTGATTATTGGGGGTTACGCCATCATTGCCTTGTGTAGCCTGACTATCATTGTTGTTGTTCTTGTTGATATACGCTTGCAATTGAAAATCATTCAAAAGCGCAGCTATAATCCCATCATTATCGTTAAAGTGCCCTGAAATACACTTTAGCTTGGTGCTCGATGCATGAATAGCAGCTTCGGCGGAGGCAGCAGCAGTACAATTTTCTGGCTTGGGGCAATGTTGTTGTTCCTTGTTGTGCATCGTCGTTGGTTCTTTGTGTTGTCTTCCATGTTGATGACGATGATGATGACATGCGACTTGTTTGTGTCCTTGTACATCCACTCCTACACCCATAGCTGTTGTAGTGGTCATATATTTAAATAACACATATGGAAATATTTTATCGAATGTATTCAAAGCCTGTATGACCACTGTGTGAATGTCATCTTGTAAGCCCTGGAAGAAAAGGAAAGAAGCAAAAACACACACCCAACAACAAGGAGAAGTGGATAAGTGAACAAAATTGAACATGCCAAGAATGTACAATATCCTTAAGAAATGCAAATGAATGTATGTGTGCGTGTGGACAACAACACACAGACATGAAAATGAATTATGTCAGATTGAATTTCCGCAAAGGCCAGAGCACATGTTGTGACCTTTTCTTCTTCTCGGTTTTCTTCTTTTTTTCAACTCGTAGTCATTAAACGATATAAAACGTTTGCTTTGCACTCAAAATGATCGTTCTTGAAAATGATTTTTAAAGGCACTATGAAATATTGAATTTATGCAAACAGGAAATCCAAGAAAGGTTTGTTTAAAAAATCCGTCTATACATGTTTTTTTGTAAACTAAAAATTGAGACTGGATTCTTTTCAAATTTGGATAATTTACTTTAAATGTTGCTAAAATTGCAAATATGTAGATGTATTCTTATTAAGGTAGATATGGTAATAGGTATATATTTGGGCAGTATTTATAAATGCAAATTTGTATGTCAAGAATATACGTTGTGTTACCAGCTCTGATTGATGTAAATATTGACTATCCACAATCTATGTTACTCTGATAACGATATGATGCAATGTTATGCGAGAATGTTATCAAAGAATTTGATTTCAATTCTTATCAGGATTTCTCAAAGGTCATAATGTACTATTCCATTTGCGAACTATTCAATTTGATTTCCACAATTCATTTTCATATTACACTTTATATATTTTACTTACCATACACAATATAGCCAATAAATATTGTAAATTTATATTCGATTTTCCAACAAGTCCAGCTTGATTGGATCTACAATAATGACCAATAATATTTTGAACTCCAGCACGTAAAATTGGATCTTCGTGATTATATAAATATAAAATATCCTGCATATATTGTATGCCACCATTTGTAGTTGAGGCACCATCAACAACATCATTTTTCTTCAAATTGTTGTAACGATTGGATTTTCTAAACGTTTTTGTTCTCTTCGGAGGTCTTGGTGGTGTCATTTCTGGTGGCGTATCTTCGTCGGCTTTTGTTATTTCAACAAACCCTTTTACTTTTGTGTCGACTCCGATAATTTCAGATGTAGACAATTTATCTTTCTTGGTTCGCATAATGGGTGAACTGTTTGATGTTTCTTCGGTTTTACTAAACAATACTGGATCTGCACTTCTTGTCATTGTTGTGGATGTAGTGGTTGCAGTAAAATTGAAATCATTTGAACTTTTACCAAAATGATCATCGATAATTTCCAAAAGTGGCCCTTCATTGTTGTCGTCAACACGAAACACATCCAAATGAGTAAAAGAAGATTTTCTAGGAACGTCTGAAGCCAGAGACGACTCTACAGTTGTAATCACCTCTAAATGTTCATAGTCTTGACCAATATTGGAACTTGAATCACTTGGGATTTGCAAAGGACTTTGGCGATCGATGGAAGGATCAATTGTCGATTCAATCATAACTTTTTCTATTAATTTCTCGGATTGCATAAATTTCAAGGATATTTCCAATATTTCTGGACGCAAACGTACACATTGTGAAATGACGTTCAGGCAAATATTTTTTATTGAAACTCTAACCGTAGAATCATCGTAGAGACCCTTTGGATTACCCGCCAACAAAAATCTGGCAGCTATCAAACGAGCTGTATATGTAACTAAGGGTTGTTCATGGGCTGTGCCAATATCAACTGGAATTAATGGCATTTCCGAGTTATCTCTTGTAGACGATGGTGAATTTAGGAATGGATTTCCTGAAAAAGAAATTATTAGTCTTTCGATCAGCAGTATAAAAATATCTCTAAATATGTACTGTTTTTCTTTAAGGGCGTCACATTGGGTGTATCATTTTCATTTGGTCTGACATCTGTGGTACTTTGAATATCAACTGAATCCAGAGAACGTATTTCTCCCATAATGGCCGTTGAAGGTGTGGGAAATGTTTTACTGGATTCTGGAGACGAATCCTCAATAACATCCACTTCGGTGCCGGTGCGTTTAAGGGAGCTTACATTTGAGGCCAACGATAGAGAATCAGCCGTAGTCGATGGAGAAATTACATTTTTCGAAGCACTAGATGAAGAACCACTGGGTCGAAATAATTTCGTAACAGATTCCGATGCTGCAACAACAACAAAAAAGCAATTTAAACAAAAAACTCTTTCCTCATGTATTCGCAATTCCTTAAACTTTAAAAGTGTTAACGACAAGCATTCATACATTCATCTACGAACATATGTAAGTAGAACATAAACTATTAACACACAACAGACTAGCACAGACATGCAAAATCATATACGACATACGTTAAGTAAATATTTTTGTAAATGTTCCATTTCGTTACGAACAATGACCAAAGACAACCCAAAAAAACACACAACAAAATGTATTTCCTATACGTTTAGCATCATCGAAAGATGCCGGAAGAGATGTTCGGTCAGCGACGATGATCATCTTTAAAATAAACAACAATTACATTTTAACATGCAACATCCTTTTTGTGGTTAAAGTTTTGAAAGCAAAACAGCAACAACAAGAACAACAACATATGGAAAAATGAAATGGATAACCCACAAATGTTCGGTTATACTATGTAACGGATGCATGCAATGTGTATGAGGCATATGTGGGAATGAATGGAAAAAAATTATGTTTAAATATAAATACGTTATGAAAATAGAACAAAAATATATTTAAAAACAAAAGTATATTAAAAAAACAATGATACTAACGGACTGGTTTTTCAAGTTCTCGGAGAAAATGTAGATCCACTGTTTCATATTTTGAATAATTTTGAATATTGAGTTCTGACATAGATCTTAATACGACTTTCGTTTACAAAATAATATTTGTGTACCATTTACCACACTGTGGTACCAGGTATTATGTCTACGTGCATATGTAGCAGGCAATAGGAAACGATATAGACCCATGGTTCCTTTTGAGAATATGCTTAGAATCACTTTCTGAGTCGATGTATACATGTCCGTCCGTCTGGCTGTCTATATTAAATTGTAAACAAAGTGCAGGTCACATTTTTATCCGAATGAGATGAAATTTGGCACAGATAATTTATTTACCTCATTATTTGAAAATTATATATATATAGCTCCCACATATATTTTCGTCCGATTTATAGTAAATGGTGCACCAAAGGGATAAGATTAGGCCGATTAACACGAAAATGCTTACAACGTGGTGAAGATAAGATAGCATAATGAGTGCCACCGTTTCTCCGATTGCGACGAAAGTTTACACAAGGTATTAAATTAAGCCTCAAATATTGCGTATTTTAATAATTGGTGTAAAGTTAATTATGCACCAAATAATAATCTGGTATCCAATTGGGATCAAAATTTGCCCAGTTTGATTTATATGATGTTGTTCCATTCTACAAAAACGACGCGAAATCTGGCCTAATGGAATTAAATTTTGTATAGGTTGCCGAAAACATGTGTTTGGATTGGTTCACATCCACGTCTGTTAGGATGCATACCCAAAGTGGTAAAGGTTATCATATTGTCGTCCGAATTTACTACTTTCCTTACTGGTTTGTTATTGCAAAATAGTCCAGCGTAATACCAGTTTGTTGTTTTATTTTGAATTCACTTTTTATTTCTCATTGATTGGTTTCTGAAACCGCTGCCACTTTGAAGATTGTTTCGCCGTTTTCAAATTGATCCAAGGAAAACTTTCCTTCTAATTTATTAGCTTTTTTTCCAGTTACCTACATACATTTGCATTGGAAATCTGTCTGGTGTTAAATCTTCATTCCTCACTTTTTTTCGAAATATGATGATTTCCATAAAATACGAATGACATTTTTCTGATAGTCAAGTATTAATATTTGAAAATTACTAGACTATCCTCGTACAATTGTTTTATATCGAAGTGGAAAACTTTAAATACACAATATGGTATCGTGTAAATTGCAATTGCCTGCATTTCACAGTTTCGTTTTAAGAAACTGTTACACAAACCAATAAACACGACATGGTCATAAAATCAAATATGATATTGTCTATAGGAAAATAGTTATATATTAATCCATTATTTTTGGGAATAACTTTAATTGAACTAAAATCAATTGAAAAAAATACAATTGCACAATGTGTTGTAACCCGAAACGGTACCTAATGGTGTGTTTGAAAAATGCGAGCCTTAAAAATGTGATTAGATACTATTGTTATATTAAAAAGGCCATGCCTAAAAACGAAAAATTGTGAAACGTTGTGATATATATTGTTTTTTTTTTTTTTTTAATTCATCTGATAATATGAATTCAACTATAAAATGTAGAATACAATAATAGTGCTAATCTGTATTATTCAGGAAAATTGTTATAAATATAATAACATACCAAGGACTTTGAAAATTACATTAAGAATTAAAAATAAAAAAATAAATATAAAACATTTATAATTTTTCAAAAATAAAATATACCTAAACTTACTAATTTAGTGATAATTATATTTATAATAATTAGTTATCATGTGACATTGTGTAAATTAAGCTATTTATAAATGTCATTCTAAAAAATAAAATTACGATATCTTCCTTCCATATAATTTAAATAGTGCGGAATACAAATAATTTCAATATCTAATCAAAAATGTTTATTAGCATGCAAATAATGTGCAATTCCATTTTATAGATGCAACAAAACAAAAAAACAATCTTTGCCTAATTGTATATCAATTGTGTTGTCTAAACATTACTAATTTCATGTCAATATTACATCATTAAGAATAGATTCATGCTAACAAGAATGGGAATCATCGAATACATCGTGTTCCATCATCTATACATTTAGAAGATAAACAATTGTTTGCGTATTTACCTGCATTGAAGTTATTAAAGAATGTGGTAAATGCATCACTACTGCTGTTGCTTGATTTTGTTGTCACTGCCTCATCCTCCTCCATCACTTTTGTGCTACCTTGTTGATCATCATTGTAGTCACTGTTCGAATGTACACCTTGAACTACCAAACCTCTGGAGATGTCAGCCTTAAATTCAATACTATTCAGAGATTCATTGTCTGTGCTGCACAATTGAGTTGACTTTTCATCATCTGACGAAAAGTTGACAAGAAATTTTTGTATATCACCCGTACCACCGCCACTACCAATATCATCCTGCCGCTGTATCTTTGAAGCCGCCGAACCATCAACAAGGCCGGAAATAGTTTCGTTGATTACACTTGAAGAGGTTTTTGTGGTGAAATCAATGTTCCCTAACAATGAGGGCTGTGTGTGTTGCGAATCATCATTCATTTCAGACAATGTTGTAAAATCTCCATCATCGTCATCCTCATCGCCATCATCATCAACGTCGTCGTTGGCATTCTTGTTGCTCCTATTAGCAATGGCTGTCATCGCCATCATCGAGGATGCTGTTGGTGGCGGTGCCCCATCTTCATCTACATAATCAATATCGACACATTCACTAATGCTGCGAGCCGTATGTCTTTTCGAGCGATGTTCTACACCGATGCCAGATGTTTTCGCTCCTGTATTCGAATGCTGTTGTCGTTGATGTTGAGGTTGCAATAGGATAATATCGCTGGATGTTTGCGATGCTGTGATATCTTTTTCGGAATATAACCGCAAGTAATCAAACAGACACAAACGCACGCACGCACACACACATCCCAAGATATAGGCAGTCGAACGAACGTTAGAACACACACAAAACACGGAGGCAGACAAAAAGAATGGAATAGGAAAAATAGTTGCGAAAGAGATTTTAATACAGCGAATAATACCACTCATGTTGTGTGAGATTGTGTTGATTCGAGTATGGGAATAGGTGTTTACCAGATACAACAATATCAACAACAAAAGAAAAACCAAAAATTCCAAACATGGATATTTTAGTCAATGCAAATTACGAATTGTTATTGGGAATATGTATTAAAGGAAGTGGGATTACATTGTATTCATGTTAGTTGGAAATGTTCATATATATAAAAAACTGAATGTGAAAAAATCCAATAATCTAATAGTTAATATTTAGGAAGCGCGAAACTGTATGTATTTTAATTAACTTGTTTTTGATAAAAACAGCAACAATCAAAATAATAGATCGGCGATTAGTATACGAATGACACGCTTGGATTGAGTATAGAAAACTGTATCGAAGGTGGAGCTGGGGAAACCACAAACGTATTTATTAATCTTCGAATATTTGTAGTAACGTATTAGACGGCCCACCCTCGGAATGTCTACTTAAATTTTAAACAATTGAAACCGGCATTATGTTCAGTCCGGTCGAATTTTTAAAAACGTTCAGGCCTATTTCAAAACTTGAACTTTTCAAATTGTCTACAAAGAGGATTTTTACCCCACTTTCATATACTCAGCTTTGAAATATTGGGGCTATATAAAATGGCCTTAATTCCAAACATGTCAGGAAGAAGTTGTTTACCTAACAAGATCCCATGAAGTTGTAAAATGTTTTTTTAGACTTGTATTTCGAAACATGGAAAAAAATGTTCAGGCTTCAAAACCGGAATGCGATACATTTATATACGAGACATTTATATGGAAGCTATGTCAAAACATGAACCTGTATAGTAAATTGTTAACAACTTTTTCTCCTTCCGAGAGTTACCATGTACTAATTGGGAGTGGAATTCAAAAAAATAGTTCGACTCGATGTTTAAAAAATGTTCCCAATATATACAAATAATATAGTTTCAAATTAAAAAAGTATTTTTAAACTTAAGATTCTTCTTCCAATCTACTTCGGTTGGAAAATGCTACTTGGACTTTCTAACAGTAAGTATACATACCAATGTATACTTACTGTTATAAAGACCAAGACCAATGTAAATTAGATTCATTTTTTATTGGTACATAGTAGGATGTCAAGTCTGCCAACAAAGTTTTATGTTATTTCCCAATTAAAAAAAAATATTTACTATTGGTCTGCTTTTGGTTATGCATAAAATTGTTTTTAAAAATTAATTTTGTATAATACTTTGACTACGTTCCCCTTAAAACCACATAAAACAAATACATTTATTAATGAAATAATACACAAAATGGTTTAATATGTTTTTTTAATGTCTAAGCAGATGTGTTTAATGTTACTTATATGAGTAGTTAGCATAAGCTGAACATATACTGCTGGACATGTGTGAGTTAGTAGTAATGTTTCTTTCTATGACTTGGCTGGAGTATTCAAAAATATTGCAATACATACCTTCGGTTAAACAAATTCTATTCACAGATCTGTCCACTTCATCAAATAATTCCGCACTAAATATCTGATGTTTTAGTGTGTTTTTGTTTCGTAGTAAAACGGCATGTTTTAAATTTTTATCATTAATCCATTGTAGCAGCTGTGGTCCAATGTGAAGTGTATTTTTCGAATCTTTGGCGGAAATACCATCCAGCGATTGTAGTATCGTATTTATCACTTCCAGTGCGGCATTTATATGGGAATGTTGGGATGATGGTGTTGAACTAACTACATACAAACAATAATCGTATATTTCCAATAATTGGCGAGATTCCTCAGAGTTGTTGGTTTTTGAAGATGTCATTGTGGCAAATGTATCGTCATTATCATTGTTGTCCAAAGTCAAGCCTTTGATGACAATAACAACTAACTGTCGCAAGAAACCCAATACACCAATAACAGTATTTGGTTGTTGGTCTGTCAAGAGGATTTCTGAAAAGGAAACAAATATAATTGATGAGTTTTGCATAAATAAATTAAATTTTCTTCAACTTGACATACCCAAAACTTTATTCAGTGCATATTTGGCCATTAACGGTTTGTTGCTAGCATACTCAATAAGACTAATACAATTTTGAGCTGTGCATCGACGTTTTACAGCACAATCAGATCCAATATTTTCTATGAATGCCTAAAACAAATTAATATAATTTTGTCAATTGTTTTTAAATAATTATAATGTGAAATTTTATACCTCAAAAAGTTTACAGGTTTCGCTGTCGGTTAATCCATGTTGTATATTTTTACCAAATTTCACAACAAATTCACTTAGTGTTTCTTGCAGTAGAGTTTCCTTACGCCGGCTTATGACTTTTAGACATGGCCAAAGATTTTGTGCATACCAACGTACACTGTGCTCACGTATACGTGGAGCATAGTAACCAAATATTCGTAGACATATACGCAGAGATCTAAAAATAGAGTATAAATTAGGAAACAAGTGTAGTTTAGGGCCCCCTCCCGGATCCTTTTGAAATTTTTACCACATGTAGTCCTTGGGGCCCTGATTACAGCAGTATACTTTTTTCTTGTGGAAATCGGTATTTCTGAGATATAGGCCTCCAAAGTTCCGTTCGGACCCTTGAGTTTTCTCGTAATTTTTTAAAATTCACTAAGGCAATATGGGTATCATTTTAAAGCATTTGAAGCCCTGATTATAAAAATATAATATCCATATCAAACAAGTCCATACTTCCTGAGATATAGGTCCTATGGACAGATGGCTACACCGGCTACGCGACAGAATCCTGTTTTAATTAGAATAGTGTTTTTGGGTAGCCGACCTTCGGCCGGGGATTTAAGACTTTCTCCTATGGACAGATGTCAACACCGGCTACGCGACAGAATCTCTTTTCAATTAGAATAGTTTTTGAGGGTAGCCGGCCTCCGGCCGGGAATTTAGGATTTCCTCCTATGGACAGATGGCAACACAGGCTACGCGACAGAATGTATTTAAGCTTTAAAATGATACCCATATAGCCTTGACCAATATTACACAATAACAACATGGAAGGTACTTATCGAACTTTTGAGACCTATATCTCTGTATGGACTTATTTAATATGAATATTAAATTTTTGTAATCAGGGCTCCAATTCTTTAAAATGATACCCATATTGCCTTAGTGAATTTTAAAAAATTACTTGAAAATACAAGGGTCCCAACGGAACTTTGGAGGCCTATATCTCCGGAAATACCGATTTCCGCAAGAATTACTTTATAATTATAATATAATGATGCAGCTTCAGCACTTTTTGTTTAGAGCTGTATATCTCAGTACTTATTCAACAGAAAACAAATTTTTGGCGCGATAACATCCATTGTCGAAGGTATCCCAATTCCAAAGCTGCCCCCAGTCTCCCCTTAATGAAACATTGGAGGTTACCATATATTCGGTATCATCCTTTAATTTTTTCTCTATATATTTTGAAAATTGTATATCCCTATGTATGTTTTTTTATAACATTCTGCAAGAAAACTTAACGATCTTCGTTTCCTAATTCAAATCGTCTTACCACCCTAATATACACATTACATTGTTTGTACACTCATTGCAAAAAAAGAAAAACATTAAGAACCACACAAAATATTTCACAGTGCGTCATCATAATTACCTACCTATGATTACCATTCCGCTTTATCTCACCATATAAATCCATTAAAATGCGATGTGCCCTTGTCTTCTCCAACACCCGAAATATTTTATTCAAATTCTCCTCGGCATGGACACGACATGTTGGATCCAAATCTTCGCAAAACAGCAATAGAATATTGGTGGCCTTACTACAAAATGTGGCATAATTGAGATGGCCATGCATCAACGGCGAGGTAATACATTCCGAAATTTTTTGGAAGCAAGCAATTTTCTCCTTTTCGCTATTCGGCCACCGGAAAAGGAAAACAAAAATTTGGCAATTAATTATTGCAAAATTCAGCCATACCCAGATTTACCTGCATTCCGTATTCCGCAATTGATCCACAGCCTCCGTAAACGTATTCACAATATTGGTTTTATCCATTGTGTGGGGGGATTATTGGAGTACTGTTGTGGTCCGCTTTTTTCCCTTATAATTGGAACATATTAGGCCTTGTTTCCTGGTGAAATTTTGTAAAATTCTGTTTTTTTCTTTTCTTTGTTTTTGTTTAAAGTTTAATGCTTCTTCTTACGTCGGTCACATAAAAACTGACACTCTCAGTGAATTGGTATGCGAATGAGCCGAATGAAACAGACGGGGAACCAAAACAATCCTTCTTCTTATTTAAGCTGGCTGAACAAAACTGTGGTATTCAAATAGATTGATAACACAAAACATAAAATAAATGAAATATATCAGCTGATTTCAGAAAATAGAATATAAAAATAAATACACTACACAAAAAGGTGTACACATATACATAAACCAAATATGGCTGGCTTTGTCTAGTTGGCACATAATTAGATTATAGATGGCGTTAAGTATTTTTTTTATCGAATTGGGGAATTAAAATCAACGGTAGAACATTTATATGAATGTTACCGAAATACGTCGAGCGTACGAAATTTCAAGTTGAACAATTTCAACTTTGACGGAATGAATTTTTATTTTTTCATTTGTTGAAAATAGAAACAAAACACAATGGAAATATGAAATTTTCAATAAGAATATTAATTATTTGGCCAAATTTTATAATTTTTCAAGTTTGTTCCTCGATTTTGTTCAGTTCGCTAAAAGACATGGGCTTGACGTATTTGGCCAATACGGACGTACAAAACATTTTGCCATAGTGGGGAAGTTGAATATATTTATACGCCACGTTGGAATTTAGGTAACGTTGTAATAATGTAATAAGGTAATTTTGATAATAATGCAGTAAAAAGTTTAAGAAGAGAAAGCCATTTTTGTTTGCATTCTCTTAAATATTGTTTCAAGTTTTACTACTTTTTACGTGCAGGGACGCTTTCAAGTAGAAATTTGTAAAACTTGGAAATTCTTGATGGTAAAGGAACAAAGCTATTGTATAATAAGCCAAATAATAGGGTGGTTGTCATTTTGACTAATTTATTTTGTAAAATCCAATAAAACTACCAAATCTTGTACAATCAAGAATAGTTGGCATATTCTGGAGTAGTTTTAAAAATTTGGATTTGTGTTGAAGAACGATTTTCTATCAGTTTCACATTTATTTACTGCAGTCGCAATCGCCGATGAAACGATTAAAGGACCGGCGAATGCGATGGTCGTTATAAAATATTTGAGAACATTTTTTTTTATTTTGAAAAATTTCGACTGTAAACTATTAAGTGTGAAGTGATTTACTGACTTTACGATTCATCAAAGCCGAGGGGAAACGGCTAAAGCTGGAATCTTAAAATTTGGGGTAACTAAAGCACGAACAGTGCTAAATATGGTAACATTTGTATTTAGCGAACCGGTGGAACAAGAACTTTCGTGTTTAGAGCCATAAACTTTAAATTTGGCATGTAGAGAAGGCCGAGAAGGCCGAGAAGTAGATTCGATATAAGGAGGTGGTTTTGAATGTCTGTACTCATGTAGATTGCCGAAAGCAGCCATTTTGACCGTTTTTCTTGGACTTAGTACGAAAGGTAACGAATGGCACTAACATTGTTGCGATCAGAATTGGAACTAAATGGTACTAAAATGTTAATATTGTGTATGTGTTAATTAGCTCTTCTGTCATATGCAGTTTTCGCTAACGAAGTAGCGGACATATGCTAGTATAAAACTAAAATCGTAATGAACGGTTGCCAACTAATAGTAATATAAATATTCAAATGAAAAATTATACATCGTAACATAATAATGCCCGATTTCATTCGCTTTGAGTCGATATTGGTGCATACTGTTTGAAAATATTCCATTTTTGGCCTTCGAACACCCTGGACTATTCCATTTTATTAAAACAATTTTAAAATAAAACAAGTATTTTTTATAATATTTTCATAGAATTGTTTTTATTGTAAAAAGCTCAATTTATAATATAATATAATATTATTGCAATCTACATTTCGTTATACAAATGATAAATTTACAAGTAATCACTAAAAAAGAAAACTAATACAAAATAAAGAAAAGATACACATGACCAAAATTTTAAAGACAAAAATAGCGGATACCTCTGTAATTGTGACATACAAATGCAGATATGTATGTATGTCTTTCGAATTCGTAAAAAGATAATTTAAGGATGTATTTTTGTATATTGTTTTTTTCTGTGTTAAATATACTACTTACAAATTATATATTTTTGATAAAAAAAATGTTTCCCCATAATAAATGAAAAATAAAATAATATTCTAGAATATTATTAACTTTTCGTTGAAAACGGTATTTTTTAAATAATTGTGGAATAAAAATGTAATAATAATATTTATAATAAGATAAAAACGTTTGTATGTATTACGAAAGAGACAAAAGCTAAGGAAGAGAAACAAACACTAATCACAGTCCTTTTTGGAGTGTTAATATAGAAAACAAGTGGGCGGGAGAAAGAAAGAAGAAACATAATGATTGCAAAATAAATATCTGGTCGAAGAAGGAGTCAATATAAATTTCGATTTTCAAAAAGTGTAGAAAGGTGTGTTGAAACCTAATAGTTCGGAATTGAGAAATTTGTTATAATTGTAGGATAGACAAAGTGAAGGAAGTATAACAATTGACAGGGAAAACTTTTGACAATTTTTATTAGGAAATATTTTTTTGTTTTGCTGTTGTATGTACACTTTGCCTTACACATATACTTGTTTATATTTATAATATATATAGAGAGACATTTAAAACCTTAACCATAATTTGTCATACAAAATATTCTTTTTTAATATATTTATTAATGAACTGGTTCTAATTAATTAAAATGTGAAAATAAACAAATTCTCTGATAACAAAATAAAGGCACTTTTGTGACAATATTTGTTGACTTTTTTCTTATTGTTTTTTTTATTCGTGATGCTTAAATATCGGATGAGTGATGAGGGCTGATTTTTTTGACGAAATAAAAAAAATACACAATGCACCTTAACCTAGTAAATCTAGCTTAAAACTGATTACTTCAACTTCTTAAATGTTATTTTCTTCGTCATCTTCGTCTCTTCGGCTGTGTGTGCGACAGCAGTAATACAAATTACGACAATAATAATAAAAATAATTATTATAATAATAAACTTTAGGACTTGTTAACTTATTTCATTAAACAAAAAAAATTATACTAGTTTGTTTTTGTTTTCTCTTTAGTTTAACGATAATTTTTACAAAATTCAGGCTTTTGTAAAGAGAAAAGGGACAAGAGACATAATTTTAGGATTTTTTTATAGGACAATACTTCTAAATGTGGGAGGAGCAGAAAACAGGGATCAAATAAATTAAAGAACAGTTAAGTGAAAAAAGGTAGAGAGACAAACAATGTGAAAAGGAATCTTTAAGTTTACAAAAGCCTTTTGTCAGGTTATTTAGAGACCCTCTCTTGCAGGATAAAGGCCCCTCTTAAACGAAACGAACATTTTAATTTCGTTTTGTACGCAGCACCACTAATGTTAAAATTAAGAATCCTAATATCCAGGCTAAAGTACTCAGGAAACCGGTGTACACCTCTGTTTCGGCAATTTCCCATCCTCGTGTTAATATTGAACGCAATGATGAGGTGGCCAGGGTCAAAGGCAGACACAAGGAAATATATCTGGAAAAAATTATTGAAATTAGTCAAATGTAATGGGGAAAATATAGAAAAAACTTACTTCAGCACAATTGGCATACCCTCAATGGGCCAAATAACACCGGACAGCAGCAGTGTTGGATAGAATGAACCCAAAGCCAATTGAATGGCATTACGTTCAAGTTCACACACTGCCGAGATAAGGAAACCGAAGCACATACCGCAAAGACCTTGTAGCAGTGTCAGTACAACGACCCAAATCAAATCACCATTATTGGTAACACCAAAGACCACCAACATAAAGATGAGCACCAATGTGGTTTGGCCACACATTACCACGAATTGTGTCAGCACATGGGAGAGTAGAATTTCACTTGGTGCAACACCAGCTACCCAGGAACGATCCAAGAGACCCTAAAGTAAAAATAAAACAAAATAATGGAATTAATATAGGCTGAGAAAAAGTAAAATAAATTTAAAAGGTTAGAGTCTCTTAATACGAGATTTTTCAAAAAGTAAGCAGGTCATTTTTAGTTTCAAAAAATTCGTTTGAGAATCAGAGGTCATAAATGTTCTTAAAAATTTAAACCTCGTACTTTGGTGAATTTTTTATGATTAATAAAATGAACTTACTTCAGTACGTTCAATAATCAATGCGGATGAAGTCAAAGCAACGGCCAAGAAGAAAACAATGCTAAAAGAACAAAAATCGTTATATAGTCTAGATTCCAAAAACCCCTCCCCCTCTGTCAAATACTTACGTCAATATAACACCAGGTGCTACGAAATCAGTAAACGATGGATTCATTGTACCATAGATGGGTTCCTTAAATTGAATTGGAACATCACCCAATTTTGGATTATTACCACACTGACCCAATAGACCCATGGCAAAGTCACGATACGCCAACATAATATCACGATTAAGCATTACACCAATCTGTTGATTCGACATATCCAGCCAGACTTTAATTTCCGATTGATCAATGGTCTCATCGTCCGAATCACGACCTACAAAACGAATAACCAAGCTATAACATTTGAATCTTAGTTCCCTGGCGATAACATACCCAAGGCAGCTCTGGCAGTAAAGGCATCTGTGAAATTTTCCGTTATATAAATGGCACCCCATGCATTGCCCAGTCGTACCGCTTCTTTTGCATCCTCTATGTCCGTGTAATATGTCTTGTCCACACTGTGATTTAGATGATTTAAATAGCGACAGCCCAAGTTGGTGAAGTGGCAACCATCATCCCAGTAACATGTTTCCTATAAACAAATAAAATAAATTAATAATTTGTTATCAATTTTAAAAATAAAAAAATAATCCTACCGTATTATTCATTTCACCATTAACAATAGCCAAATTCAAACCAGTTGGATCCCGACCAATGGCCAAACAGAACAGAATAACCTGCATAACCGGTAAGGCAAAAATGAATAGCATCACACCAACATTACGCCACATACGTAAAAAGTTTTTGTTTAGTAAAGCCTTGATTTTGCCCTTGGTTGTAACCTGAACGTGTAAATGGAAAGAAAAAAAAAAAACAAAGTTAAAATTTTTATTGCTATTGTCTTGCCATTAATTATTACTAACCTTGCACAAATTGGCATAACAATCCTGACAGCTTTCTTCATCATTGGGATTCTTCTTGTTTGGTGGAGGTTCATAGGGTTCTTGATTTAGCTGTGCAGCGACAAATTAATTAAAATTATTATTTGAGTTTTTTGTTAATGAGTAAAAAATAATATTTTTATTATTATTAATCCTGATATTTGATTTTCCCAATAAGGTCCTAATTATATTAAATATGTGATAATATTTATATAATATAAATTAAATATAATATAATAATAATTATATTATATTATAATTAAATAAAAAAATTATAATAATATTTATGTAATAAATTTGTTTTCATGTATCGTAACATATAAATTTGTGATAATTTAACTTAGATTTTCTTTTTTAGTAAATACCTTAATGTCTTTCTGAGTTCTCTGCCAGAGAGAATAAAGGGCAAATAAATATTTCGAAAATAGAGCAACATAAAATATAAAAAATACAGGACACCGTAAAAATGTTATAATCATCCTACAAAAGGAGTTATTTAAAATTGGGATATTTGAAGGTTATAAAAAAATATATGGGAGGTCTATTCCCTAACCGCACTATTTATATAAAATGTATTAGGTTTTTAATAAAATTAAAAAAAAAAAAACTACAATATAAATATATAACAGAAGCATTCTTCAGTATTTTTATATGTATTGCTTATTGAACTAGTAAGGGAACAAACTCTCAAAATCTGAAGTTAAAAAATAAAAATATATAATTTTATGGATTATATTATAGAATCCTTTATATATATTATTTTGCGTTAAGAGTAGTTTAAGACTAGTAGAGTTGTAATGGTAAATTTAAAATAAATATTTATAAGTAGGGCTATTTAATTTATAATGGTTGACATTTATAATTATGTATTTGTAGCAACATACTTCATTTATTTAAGAAAATATAATTCAAAGATCATAGGTTCTGTTAAGTTTTTTTTTTTTTTTTTTTTTTTTTTTGCCTGGCGTCATCAGACATTTTAATTGGGAAATTGGACTTTTGTTAATATAAAGGTACTTAGTACTGTTTGACATATGAACATTTGTTGTACTGTTTAAAATAGCTTGAAAATAAATTTAATAAAAAAATAATTTTTCACGCGACCAGATTTCACCACTTTATCACCTTAAATCTTTGTATATAACACTCTGAAAAATTGTGGTAATGAATTCAACCGTGTTGATTTTCGGCCAAATACGAAGGTCAACAAAACGGACGTTGTGCCACAGAACATTGATACCGTGCGTTAACTTATAATTAGACCTCGGATTTTGCATATTTGCATATTTTTTAATAATGAAGATATCGAAATTCTGATTGGACACAAATTCGTTTCAAAGGATTTAGAATTATTTGAAGGGTTCATATTTTTAATTTTTTGCATATTTGCATATTTTGCATATGCACGAGATATGCAAAAAATATGCAAATATGCAAAAAATATGCAAAATATGCAAAAAATATGCAAAATATGCAAAATATATGCAACATATGCAAAAAATATGCAAAATATGCAAAATATATGCAAAATATGCAAAAAATATGCAAAATATGCTAGGTCGATATGCAATAAATATGCAAAATATATGCATAAAATATGCAAAATATATGCTAAAATATGCAAAAATATGCAAAATATGCAAAAAATATGCAAAAAATATGCAAAATATGCAAAATATGCAAAATATATGCAAACATATGCAAAATATGCAAAAATATGCAAAATATGCAAAAATATGCAAAATATGCAAAATATATGCAAAATATGCAAACATATGCAAAATATGCAAACATATGCAATATATGCAAAAATATGCAAACATATGCAAAATATGCAAAATATGCAAAAATATGCAAAATATGCAAAAAATATGCAAACATATGCAAAATATGCAAAAATATGCAAAATATGCAAAATATGCAAAAATATGCAAAATATGCAAAAATATGCAAAATATATGCAAAATATGCAAAATATATGCAAAATATGCAAACATATGCAAAATATGCAAAAATATGCAAAATATGCAAACATATGCAAACATATGCAAAATATGCAAAAATATTCAAACATATGCAAAATATGCAAAAATATGCAAAATATATGCAAAATATGCAAACATATGCAAAATATGCAAAAATATGCAAAATATGCAAAATATGCAAAAATATGCAAAATATATGCAAAATATGCAAAATATATGCAAAATATGCAAACATATGCAAAATATGCAAACATATGCAAAATATGCAAAAATATGCAAAATATGCAAACATATGCAAACATATGCAGAAATATGCAAAATATATGCAAAATATGCAAACATATGCAAAATATGCCAAAATATGCAAAATATGCAAAAATATGCAAAATATAGGCAAAAATATGCAAAATATGTGCAAATATGAGCAACATATTTCACATATGCAATCATTTTAATCAAAAAAAAAAAAAATTCAGGGTAGTTTTCGAATTTGTGTGCTTTCTTTCTTTTTAACCTATAGAAATCTAATTGTGTATGTATGCGTTTCATGGTTCAACTGTTAGATTTTTGGGGCATTATGAAAAATTTGCTAAATATATGTATAAAACATGCAAACATATATAACCGTTATATGGCGATATACTAAAACGTGGACCGATATATCCCATTTCCAATACCAAACATCCTAGGAGTAATAATAATATATGTGCAAAATTTCAAAGTTCTATCTTTAATATTGCGACCTAGCATACCGTGCATATATTTTGCATATTTTTGCATATTTTGCATATCGACAATGCATATTTTGTATTTTTTTTGCATATATTTATCGCATATTTTAGCATATTTTGCATATTTTTTGCATATTTTTGCATATTTTGCATATGTTTGCATATTTTGCATATATTTTGCATATGTTTGCATATTTTGCATATATTTTGCATATTTTTGTATATTTTGCATATTTTTGCATATTTTGCATATTTTTGCATATTTTGCATATTTTGCATATTTTTGCATATTTTGCATATTTTTGCATATTTTGCATATCGACAATGCATATTTTGTATATTTTTTGCATATATTTATCGCATATCGACCTAGCATACCGTGCATATTTTGCATATTTTTGCATATTTTGCATATTTTTTGCATATTTTGCATATTTTTTGCATATTTTGCATATATTTTGCATATTTTGCATATATTTTGCATATTTTTGCATATTTTGCATATTTTTGCATATTTTGCATATTTTGCATATGTTTGCATATTTTTGCATATTTTGCATATTTTGCATATTTTGCATATTTTGCATATTTTGCATATTTTGCATATTTTTGCATATTTTGCATATTTTTGCATATTTTGCATATATTTTGCATATTTTTGTATATTTTGCATATTTTTGCATATTTTGCATATTTTTGCATATTTTGCATATTTTGCATATTTTTGCATATTTTGCATATATTTATCGCATATCGACCTAGCATACCGTGCATATTTTGCATATTTTTGCATATTTTGCATATTTTTTGCATATTTTGCATATATTTTGCATATATTTTGCATATTTTTGCATATTTTGCATATTTTTGCATATTTTGCATATGTTTGCATATTTTTGCATATTTTGCATATTTTGCATATGTTTGCATATTTTTGCATATTTTGCATATTTTGCATATTTTGCATATTTTGCATATTTTTGCATATTTTGCATATTTTTTGCATATTTTGCATATTTTTTGCATATTTTGCATATATTTTGCATATTTTGCATATATTTTGCATATTTTTGCATATTTTGCATATTTTTGCATATTTTGCATATTTTGCATATGTTTGCATATTTTTGCATATTTTGCATATTTTGCATATTTTGCATATTTTGCATATTTTGCATATTTTGCATATTTTGCATATTTTTGCATATTTTGCATATTTTTGCATATTTTGCATATATTTTGCATATTTTTGTATATTTTGCATATTTTTGCATATTTTGCATATTTTTGCATATTTTGCATATTTTTGCATATTTTTGCATATTTTGCATATTTTTGCATATTTTGCATATCGACAATGCATATTTTGTATATTTTTTGCATATATTTATCGCATATCGACCTAGCATACCGTGCATATTTTGCATATTTTTGCATATTTTGCATATTTTTTGCATATTTTGCATATATTTTGCATATTTTTGCATATTTTGCATATTTTTGCATATTTTGCATATGTTTGCATATTTTTGCATATTTTGCATATTTTGCATATGTTTGCATATTTTTGCATATTTTGCATATTTTGCATATTTTGCATATTTTGCATATTTTGCATATTTTTGCATATTTTGCATATTTTTGCATATTTTGCATATATTTTGCATATTTTTGTATATTTTGCATATTTTTGCATATTTTGCATATTTTTGCATATTTTGCATATTTTTGCATATTTTTGCATATTTTGCATATTTTTGCATATTTTGCATATCGACAATGCATATTTTGTATATTTTTTGCATATATTTATCGCATATCGACCTAGCATACCGTGCATATTTTGCATATTTTTGCATATTTTGCATATTTTTTGCATATTTTGCATATTTTTTGCATATTTTGCATATTTTTTGCATATTTTGCATATTTTTTGCATATTTTGCATATTTTTTGCATATATTTTGCATATTTTTTGCATATATTTTGCATATTTTTTGCATATTTTTTGCATATTTTTGACATGACCCCAAATATCGATCAATTAAAGCATGAAACGCCTAAATACAAAATTTGAGTCCAATCGGATAAAGCATAAAAAATATGCAAAAATCCGAGGTCTACTTATAATGCAAAATCATGTTGCGTCCCGTATGACATTTTTTCACCGTCTGATATAGAATAGCCGCTAAATAAGTATCTGCAAACTGGTTCCCGCACCATTTTAAAATCGCTCAAAAGCAGGCTTGTTTCGAGTGGTACAAAGGAATTGTGAAAAATTACGATTGCTGTACTTCAAAAGGCGTGTATAAGATCGTCACAGGTGACGAAACCTGCATCTATCATATTACAACCTCGTCTTGGCACCTAATGGCCCCGTTTTGGCACCTATATACATTTTGCAAAAAAGTGCATCATCGAAATATTGGTTTAGACTCCATGTTTCTTTGGATCAAATCAATTTCAGACAATTTGGAGTCGATTTACACATGTTCGTCCGTCTTTATGTCAGTATTTCTACCAAACTTAAGTTCGAATATGGGGAATACAACAATTGTACTAAAAATTAATTGTATAATGTCATGAGAACGGACTATCCCATTTGAACCAAGCTTTACATAAATTATATATTCTTTATAAAGCCTAGATCAAGATGGGGTCCATTGCTCCACTCCTTCTGGTACCTCCACCACAAATAACCAAAACGTCAATACTTTTAAATTCAACAAATTCCTATTATCTTTACCAAGCCTAGATCAAGTCCTAAGATAGGACCAATTGGTCCACTCCTTCTGGTACCTCACCAACAAAGGGTCAATATTTTATAAACCCATTCTCCGTTTTAAAATTTCAAGATTTTCAATGGGCTGGCAAATGAATATCAAGGTTTGAAACTTTGTACTTATATATTTGAAGATTATATGCAAAAAATTGTTTTGTTGTTGTTCCAAGGGTGTTATAAAGAGTATATTTCTGGCTCTCTTATTAACTAGGATTATTGGCTTCGCTCAAAAATTAATAAAATGGCGGACGTTTGAAAAAAGTTTTTTGGATAATCGCCTATTTTTGTTAAAAATTTAATAAATAAGGAAGATATTCACCGATTCACTCACATAAAAACGTGTCAAAATTTGGAACTGATTGGATTATTCGTTTTTGTGTTATCGTGCCCGTCATTCGTAAAAAGCCGTTATACCGTCGCTTGATGCTAACACAATAAATCGGCTATATCTTCAAAATTTGTTGAGATTTTTACTTGAAGTTCTTGATTTAGTGTAGGTTCGAATCAAATCAAAAAACAAATTTAAATTTTTTGAAACTGAGAATGGGTGGGGTCCCTTAAATTCGGAAACCTCTTTGATAAAAAAATATACCTTATATAAAGCGATTTATAAAACCTGTGTGTAATTCCGAAGACCTCTACAAACCATAGGCTGAGGGTGTATATCTGTCGGCAACATCGACTGACACGACATGACACGGGTCAAATTGAGAAAATACAATAAAAACGTGAAATATCAATTTCACACATGTTAGGACTCCACCTTCATTACGAGGATGAAAAACTACATGTTGTGATAATTGGAGTCCTATTTAGTAAATTAAGGACGAAAAGGATATAGAAATGTTCTACAAAAAAATCCTCATTTGATTTTACTACAAATCAAGATATGAAGCAATCTCTTCACGTATGAAAGGGTCGCCAGCAAAAAGAATGATCTGCGAATTTTGATCTATTTCGGATTTTCCCTTCTTAGGTTACTTTTTTATAATTTGTTTATATAACAAAATCTGGTTTCTGATATAAAATGTTCTCTCAAATAAATCGTTCTTGTTCTCAGCCGGTATTACTCTCAAATTAATCGAGTGTGTGTCAAAAGTCTCCCAAATTAATGAAGTGTCTTAAGTCCTTTATTTACAATGTTGGAAATCTCCAATATTATTTGTACTACTGGTTCTCAAAGCCTACCTGCTTCATGCTATTTTCCCGGGGTTTACACATGCAACTTTTATAATCAACTCTGCCGAGTTCTTAGAAAGGAGAGAGGCATGAAAAGTGACAAGAGGAAGAAATTCGAAAGAGAATAGTAAAGAGCAGCAGCAAAGTTGCTTAAAAAAGTTGCATGTATAAACCCAGAGTTTATGAATATATTAAACGCCTTTGTAAAAAAGCACGTTTTTCACTTAATTGGAATTACAAATAAAAAAAAAAAACAATCACAAGTTTAATGAAAATTATGATGGAAAGCTACAAAAACTCTTTTGGAATTTATGCGAAACGAAAAATGATTCATAAAAATAAAATAAAATGTGAGAGGTTGCATAAATTTAAATAAATTTAATTTGAAAATGTAGCTAGAAATTCTAATGGCAATAATTAAAGGTTAACGAAACTAAATGCCTATTAATTTAATTTGGGGATTTCAAAATAATTGCACGAGCTCCCAAATATGATGCATGTATTTGCAATTTTTGTTTTTTTTTTCTTTGGTGTAATGTCACAACAAATGCTGGTTTCACATCCAAGAAACAATGTCAAGGTTAACTGTGAATAAACTATTCCATTTAACTAATTTACATAATTTTAGTAATAAATTAAATAAAAGATGCCCTTTTTGAACACATGGTCCCAACTTTTTTGTGATTATGATTTTTAAATCGTTTTTGTCACCAAAATATTCATACATATGAATTTTATTTTATTTTTTCAAACAAAAGATAATATAAAACAAAAACATTTATAGTCTAAAGCAATCTATGGTATATTGTATTTTAGATGTTCAATATTAATATAAAGACATTTATATTTCCGCATAAAATCTAAAATATGCACACGATAATCTAAAATATGTAAATCAAAACTTTTTGGATTTTCGTAAATCTTGAGAAAAAATGCTGCAAGTCATTCTCATAAATATTTTGCAATGATGAATATTGGTAAATATGTATATATGCAACTCCCACTTCAAAGTAATATATACATCTATACATATTTTAAAAAAAAACTACCATAATAAACAGTAAAACTAGTATTTTTTGATTTCTTCTACCTATATACCTTCTTTTTTCTCCCCAAAAATATAATTTAACAATACAAATAATTATCTCTAAAAATTAAAATGTAAATTAGTATATTAATTTTCACATACCGTATATATGGATCCATTGGTATCATTGATGAGGATTTCTTTGCTTTGATGGAAATTGAGACCGACAACGCCACCCTCTTGACTGCCACTGGGTTTGTCCATTTTACTGCCGAAGCCCATGGCATGTAATGAAATATTATTACTGTTAGTTGGATATTCAAGTTTTTGGAGATGGGTCGATTCCGAAAGAGAATCAAACCGGATGGGATCGCAATTAGATTAGACACATATACATACACACACACATTAATATAGCATTCACGAATACATAACAAATTAAAAAAAACACACACACAAAAATGGAAATTGAGAAAATAAAATCAATAATTATGGCAGATTGACGAATTTGTTGATAATGGCAATGTTTGATTTGATTTGTTGTAGTAGTTGTTGGGGTGTTGTTGTGGTTCCATATAAAATTTGAGATAATTATAATTTTTTTATGTTGAGATATTTTTGTTGACCGACCGACCGATTGATTCACATTGTTTGTTTTTTGTTGTTGTTAAGTGTTTTGGTTTTTTGAAGTGCAATGAAATGAAAATAAATCAATAAGAAAAAAATAAAATTCATTAAAATACCAAACCATGCAAAAAAATAAAAGGTATGTAATTAAATAAAATAATTAAAAAAATTAAAAATGAGTTTTCACACAAAATTTATTACATGCTATTAATTTTTGTTGTGGTGTTCCTCTTACCTGAAATTGACCTGAGATACATCGCCCTTTTGTGACTGAAGACGGGAAAGTTTTAAGAAAACATCCTCTAAACTGATGCATTTGTACATGGAAAGTAAAACACTAGGTGATTCTTCGGCCAATAGATTACCGGAACGCATTAGACCAATCTACAAGGACAATACAAATTCTTTAGATATCTCTCCCAATTTCCTTTCGAACTTTTGTAACACCTACCGTATGCGCCTGTCTGGCCTCTTCAATATAATGTGTGGTAATAATAACTGTCTTTTGTCCTGATTTTGTTATGTGAACCAAATGATTCCATATACTTTGACGCAGCAGGGGATCCACACCCACTGTGGGTTCATCCAAAATCAACAATTCCGGATCATGCATCAAGGCCACAGCAAATGATACTCTTCTCTGTTGGCCACCACTGAGATTTTTCACTAATCTCTTTTCCGAGGGTAAATCCAAAAAATTCAACAAAAACTGTAAACGTTCATTGATCTCTTTTGTTTCCATGCCAAAAATCCAACCGAAATACATCATTGTTTCGCGTATAGAGAACTCAGCGTATAGGGCAATTTCCTGTGGCATATAGCCGACACGTTTGCCGGGCACTCCGGATACCCGGGAACCGGGTTTGCCGCCCAGCACAAATATTTCACCGGAATCGATGCGGCGTCGGCCAACAATACAGGACAGTAATGTGGTTTTGCCACAACCTGAAGCACCTAAAAGGCCATAACTGTAAAGGGAAGAAGAGAGAGGAAAATACGACATTAATGAGAATGATATAAATTGTATAAATAAAGAAAAAGCTTTATCACGCAATTATATTTTTTTAATTTATAAAAAGGTCAAGTGTACAAGAAATGACGTCCATAATAATAACAGACGCTCATGTTTGTTAAAAAAATAATTGTTTAATTTTGCCTTTAAAGTCATTAAAAATTATGATCATCGTCAAGGTTAAAGGTTTTTCTGTTGATGAAAATTATACTTTAGTAAGATTATTATTTTTTTCTGTTTTTTCTTTTATTATAGCAGAAATAAAATTACAAAGAAAATACTGAATATTCCTCCTTATCAGGAATATTTAGGATTTTCTTTGTAACCCTGATAAAATGTACATCTGTCTAGTTTCGAGATAAAAAAATGGAAAGAGAGTTTAAAAAATACGAATTGACATCTGGATTATCTTTGTAAAATATATCCTCCTTTATATCTTTTTTGTCTTTTTTTTTTTTTTTTTGCATTGAAAAATAAATACCACAAGACGAGATTTGTTGATCCCCAAGTATTCTATGTCACTCATAACAATATAGACAGGGTCCCCAAAGACATGAAATCGAGCGTCGGCAAAGATTGATTGTTTAATCATTTAGGAAGAAGAAGGTTTGCGCCTCATCGTTATACAACGATTTAAGCTCATCGATTCACACTTGTAAGGATTATCCACCTCGTAAGTTATAAAAAATGATTTTTCAACACAGCACATGGTGGTACGTTTATGATAAAAAGTGTCAAACATTCTAATTCAACTTAGTTTTGTCTAGGCCAGAAATATATGCATTAGTCCTCCTTAGAAGGGCCTTGACAGCAAAATTTTTTTAAATACCATCCAATTGTTTATAATTCAATGTTTTCTCATGCTAATAAAACAACAACATTTTATTCCATTATTTTTTTATTTATATAATAAAAAACCAACAAAAAAAGAGATTAAATGATTTATATTTAAATTTTTAAAACAATTAAAAATTGAAAATTATTCTGTTCGCCAAGTTTATTTGAGTTTTATGTTTGGCTTTGATGTTGATTTTCTCAGCGGAGAAGAACAAACAAACAAAACAACAACAATAAAAACAAAACAACAAACTTACTAAACCAGTTTTCAAGTAAATCCTATTAATTATTTTCAAGAATTGTACAAGGCAACCCAGAGTAATTACCATCATCCTCGGCTAATCAAAAGAAACTTAAACTTAACTAAGGCTTATGTATTGTTTTACAAAAATATATATTTGAACAATTATCAAATAGAATTCTGTATTTAAAAACTGTACTGAAACAATTGTTGCTCGTTATTATTATGAAGTAAGTAAATACACTATTATCCCCTTACTCCCCCCATTCCAATAACTAGTTGTACTAGTCACAAATGTCGATTCACATTTTTGTATCTAGATAATCACTCTAATTACAATCGCATGTCTAAGCACCTTTGAACGATTTCAAAACCAAGCATCGAAATAAAACAGCAAAACTGCAACTTGTATCAAAGTTGAACATTGCGAATAGTTACTTTTTTGTTGTTTTCTATAAAGATTTTCTATTAAACCGTTAATAGTTGTAAAGGCTAGAACGCCATATTTGTTTTTTGTTTATATAAGTAGTTAGATTATTGTAAAACGCATTATGTGAATTCAATGATAGTTTCCTGAAAGAAGTATGATTTTCTAAGAATTTTTAAGGAAAAAATTAGAGGACGGAAAGTGAGGCTGATAAATTCGCAAGTGAATTTCGATTCGATTTTAATAAAATTCGATAAATGTAATAGAAGAAGATTTTACATATAATTATATATGTCATCGAAAAACTGGAAAGATTATATGAATGATTCATTTATTTTTATTATAAATGTTTATATATTTATATATGTTATAAAAATATTATTTTCCTTATTTTTAGCAATTGATTAATTTGTAATTAGTTTATAGCAAGTTCAATGTTCCCACCGCATTATAAACAATGTCGTCCGATTGATGTTGTTTTATAATAAAAATGTGAACATCATAACTTTCATTCCGCTTTGCGGGTAATTTTCAAAACAAACCGGAATATTGTTATTATGAGGGATCAACAAAATTTTGGAATGATAATGTCAATTGATTTTATAACAGTTTAAATAAATAGAAACCAGTTAAGGAATGATCAAAGTCGAAAAAATCTCCATCAGAAATTTGAAGATGAGAAAGAAAGGCATTCCTAATATTTAATAAATTCAAACAAATAATTGCGTATATAAAATTTAAAAATTCCGATAATTAAAGCAAGATGCAGTCGATTCGATTCCTCTCATATATTTCTGAGCGGAGCTTTTCAGACAAATGAGAAATGTCTAATCTATATGATTTCAATATGGCAGACATTTAGTTTGAAAAATAAACTAAAAAAAATTCGAGAGCGAGCAACATGGCAAAATGTGGATTTACAGGTATATATTTTTATTTCATGGAGTCTTTTTATTAAACATACCACAATTTTTATATCGACGTATCGAAATTCGGGTATAATGTAGGTATTTCCATGACTCTTGCCTCATTTTCAAGGCGATCTGATCATATTTATTATTCGTGATTTCAGTGGACAAAATACCTCCGAGTAGACACTTTTCAGGATATGTTAATGTTTTGGAACTATCCGAAAATGTTCAGGTATTCAATAATGACATTTTATGCTTTCAAAGGATAAAATTCCGCTGTTTTTTATATTTAAGACCCTATCTAGTTATTTTGCATCTTTATGTCGTATTTTCCAACATGATTTGTTATTCTGGGCTCAGCTCATGATGGTTTACAAAAATTCTTCACAGAAAATTGTTTTCATGTTTTGACATAGACTAAGAATAAGCATCCCTATAGATTTTAGGTTGGACCATTTCAGTTCTTATTCAAAAAAATTTAATGATTTTTTATCTCCAAATTGTGGAAAAATATTGACAATCGGGCGCCATCTTTATATGGTGTCAAAAAGGTGAGCATATTTCAAAAATTTTCTTTGAGTGTAGATACTCATCAAATACTCATCTTCTGTCGTTATCTTTATATAAAAATGAACATTTTAAATTGTACAACATTTCAGAGTAATATGATCCCCAATCTAATGAAGTAGGGTATAACATACAAACATTTCTTTTAACATTAAAATATCTAAATGCGGAATAAGTGTTATGGGAAGATATTAGTATGAAAATTAATAAAAGAAGGGGAAAATAGTTGAGTTCGGCCTGGCCTAAATACCTAAAATCAATTGGAGCTTCCAGAGGAAAACGAAATAGATTGTGCCAGGACGTTGAACATACCGAAAATGACGCTTAACGGTTGAAAACATATCTACAATATTTTTTATTTGAGTTTGGCCTGTAAGGGCGATGATGATTTGAATGAGTTTTAAGTCAGTTTTTCTCTTTCGAGTCGAGCTTAATGACCGAAGTTTTACAATGAAAATGAAGGCCAGGGGAAGAACCTACGCATCCACCGACGCCGTTGTTTAAGCGGCTGAAGTGCCTTAATGGTTCAGAATGCTAAGTGGCCTAACAACATTTTATGTTGTTCTGGGAACCTAAGTTCGAATCCTAGCTTTCTTCAGATTTTCATTGCTAAACTTCGATCATTAAGCACGACTCGAAAGAGAAAAACTGACAAGATGTCTGAAATCTTAAAAATTCTGAATAGTTATAGGAGGGCTATAGCAAAACGGGGAATATTTGGTAGTGATATTTGGAATCCAATGATCCAATCCAAAATATAAAATTATATCCAATTTGGTTGAAAAATGTGTCCAAAATACCGAAATGATAAACAAATTTGTAACATATCCTTAAAATCCAAAAATAACAAATAATGGGTGCTACCCAGAAACATAGGGCAATATTGATAAATGTTGGTAGGGAGATTTGGAATACAGACACTAAACACCAATATTATATTCGGTTAAAAAACGTGGCCAACTGCGCAAAAATAACGAATATTGGTGGCATCGTTATAAGGGGGCTACAAAAACGTTGACCGATATATCGCATCTGCAATTCCAAACATCCTAGAAGTATAAGCTTTGTCTCTGGCAAAGAAATATTAAAAGTAGTCGATCGTTAATTGTATTATAGACAAATTATTTGTCATGGATGTTTTTGGAACGAATATCATTTTAATTAACACACTTTTAAATCTTTTAAATTCATTAGAAATATGGTCTCGAAATGTTCTTCTATAGAAATATATATGTTATTTTAAAATTCAATAATTTGCAAATCATCGAAAAAATTGCAAACAATAACAATTTCCTAAGAATGCAATAAATACAATTATTAAAAAAAAAAACAGCACAATTTCCAATGATACAATAAATAACAATATCAAAAACAATTTTTTTTTTGCAAATTTTTTTCAAATACGATAAAAAGATATTATTCGCCATACTTTGTGGCCATATTATTGTTGTAATTTATTACTCAAACTACAACAGTTATTGTAGTGCAATTGATTACATTACCAAGATATAACTTGAGGTTTTCTAAAATGTTGGTTGGTTTGTTTTTTGATTTTTCGGTTTTGCTGGCTTATCTTGACTGTTCGTTTCTTAAGTCTTTCGTTGGTAATCCACCAATCACTTTTTGTAATGTTACAAACACACACACATGCATATACATATTCATGTACATTTGATGTAATTTAAGAATTGCTTTCTTGTTCAAATACGCATTTAGTATTATATATTATTTTTAAGTTTGTTTGTTTGTTCGCTTTGACCCGAATACCAAATGTAATATTGAAATCACTAAGAATGAATTAAATTTGGCGTTCGGCGTTAAGACATTAACTGATTGCAATATTGCAAGTGGCTTGGTATTTTATGTAATAAACTTGAACATCCGGTCGGGGTTGAACTTTTTGGTAGAATTGTGAGTAGTAATTTGAAATTTGAAAATTATTTGGAGGCGCATTTGATAATTGTAGTCAAATA